ACTAACTACCAGTTCTGACCACATACGGTCTTAAATCTTTACCTGTGTGCTGTATTTCCCGATCCAAAAGTGAATGTGATGGTAGATTGCGTCACTTCCGGACTTTTTATAAGTCTGAAACCAAAAACACCGATATCTGATAAAACAAGTTGGCTTAAACTGCGTCGTGAAGTTTAAATGTTACTGTCATTTTATTCAAATATTTCAATAATCACGTGACCATGCCAATGAAACTAAATGTTCGTCTACTGCTTAGGTGTGGACGGATTAAATGTAGTGATAACTTGTATGTATTATCTAGTTGAAACAATACCTTATTGTGCTTTTCGTTTGCACTTTTTTGTTGTTACAGTTACATTCTGTTAATCTGATTGGACAAAACCATGTCATCACTGAAGATCAGAGACTGAGATCGCATGTTTTTGCAATAAAAAAAAATAAGAAAAATGGAAACCTTGATAGCCACTTTTATCTATTTTGATTAGTGACACAGTACGTGATATACACACTTCAATCATTATTAATTATTTTATATTATCAAGTATTTCTGTATTTTTTGTAAAATTTGTATGTGCCCCTATGTAGCATCACCAAAGACTTCCAGAACGACGAAACAGCTGTAAGATGCAGTGTCATTCAGTTTTGACATAATCCATCTGTTACCAAGTTTTAAATGTTCAACTATTTGTGTCTTTCGATCACCGTTTAAAACTAATGGTCTTTCATTTTTAGAATTGTCTGAATATCAGTGTTCTATGTATAGCCCCTCAAACTACACTTACATCGAGGATGATGTAGGAATCGCCCTCGTAAAACTTTCCATAATCCTCCTCCGGCCAATCGGTCACTTCGAAATTCTGTTGAGAAAACAAATATCCTTATACTATAGCGAATTCATCAATGTGAAGACTAACGTATACGACAAATGTCAATAAAGGTGAAATATACTGAAGCTGAAGTCGTTAAATTCTGTTAGTTTAAAACAGCATTGCTTTATTCGGTTGCAATATTTTCCAGCAGACATTTGACATTGCTACTGAGAAACACTGTGTCCCCTGTGAGTGGTTTTTATATATATATATATATATGAATTTATCAAAGAGCATATAACGACTGTTAACAAGCCTTTTATTTTCACTTTTTAAATTTATCGATGTCTGGTATCTAGGACACGACACTCAAGGTCTACTCACTCTTCGTCTTTAGCCACTAACCTCATTCTTTTCTTACACCACGAATACGTTAGACAACTTACAACTAAGCTGTATAATTACATTTTGTAGTATGACGGTATCGATTTTTAGCTTGCTCGGAATATCACGAACTCCGTGATGTGTGTCGAATGCTCATCATAACATATACAGGAATTCGAAGGATGCAGATTGATGAACACTATGAACATGATTTATGGTCTTAATCTCATTTTAAAATATTCTACTTCCTTGCATGATATGAAAGTCAATGTTTATTATGCTCATAAGTGCGTCGTGTAGTTTCGTTTTGATCTGGACTACCATAGCTGTTATCGTTGATGTATCAAAAGGCGGTTACCCTTCTGGAACACTGGTATTATTTTTCTAGTATCGGAAATCTCCAAACATTTTGCCTCAGTTTTTAGCTCACCGGGTCCATTGATTGGAATTTAACTAAATTTGACTAGAAGCATCCCTAGGTGGTGGGGATTCAAAAGTGTACAAATGGTGTGGCTGACCCCCCAGGGGGATGAAGGGCGGGGCAAAAAGGGTTATTTGGCTATATTGCTACAAACGACTTCTTCTGTAAAACTATGCACTGGATATCAATCATATTTTATCACAATTGTTCATGGGAGGCAGGGATTTAAAATTGTACAAATGATGTGGCTGACCCCCCAGGGGGCTGAGGGGCGGGGCCAAAAAAGGTTATTTGGCTATATTGATTTACGCGACTTCTTCTCATGAACTAAGAAATGGATATCAACCATATTTGACTGGAAACATCCCTAGGTGATGGGGTTTCAAAATTGTACAAATGTTTGGGCTGACATCCCAGGTGACTGAGGACAGGGCCAAAAGGGGGCAATTTGGCTATATTGCTATAAACGACATCTTCTGTAGAACTATGCCATGGATATCGATCATATTTGGTCGGAAGCATTCATGGGAGGCAGGGATTCAAAATTGTACAAATGGTGGGGCTGAACCCCCGGGCTAAGGGGTGGGGCCAAAAAAAATATATTACTTGGAAATGGTGGAGATCCCCACCATATAACCATATTTACAATAACTGAGTATAAAGAGAAGAATGTACATTTGCTTCCAGGATGGCCCTAGGGTCTGGCCCCATAGTCCCTGGGCCATAACTTTAAAACGGTTGAGATCCCCACTCCAAAACTATACGAATGCAGTCATGATATTAGAATAGACCCTGGGGTCTGACCGAACCCCTAGGGACCTAGTTTCTTAGTCACAGCTTGGAAACAGTTGAGTGTAAAAGAGATGAATGCACATATTCTTTCAGGATGGCCTTGGGGACTACCCCTCCCTTGGAGACTTAATCCCTGGGTCATAACTTCTAAATGGTTAAGATCCCCACCCCAAAACTATATATAAAATTGTTGGGCATAAAAAGATGATTGGAGTCATGATATTAGAATTGACCCCAGGGTCTGCCCACCCTTGCAGACTTAACCCCTGGGTTATAACTTTGAAACGGTTGAGATCTCCACCCCAAAACTATATATACAAATGCTGGGCAAAAAGAGACAAATGCAGTCATGGTATTAGAATTGATCCTGGGGTCTGGCCACAACCCTCGGGACCTAGTTTCTGAGTCACAGCTTGGAAACAGTTGAGCCCCATAACCATACATAAAATTGCTGGGCATGAATATTGGCCTTGGGGTCTGGCATTTTCCCTTGGATCTCATTTGGAGAATATTTTGCCATGGTTCCTTAGATATCCAGGTGAGCGATAAAGGACCTCTGGGCCTCATGTTTATTTTGAGTTTAGTTTACGTTTTTTATGCCATTTTTATTGTCTTCTTATGTTTTACACAAGTTCAGCTGTTTTTATTCTTAACACTTTATTGACATTTTTGTTTCTTGAATCTTGATAATTCAACAAACCAGATCCGAAATTTGTGAACTTAAGGGGAGAACCCTTGCATGTTTGGGGAAAGAATAGGCCTTATGTATTCCACTGTATGATGGTAAGAGGCGACTAATGTAGGGCCCCCTGAAAATCTGGGTTCGTCTTCTGTATATTCCATGAAGAGGACATGGAAGAGACCAAAATTGATCTTCTGCCCCCATTGAAACATTTGCGATCTTTATCGCTTCCTTTCTTTCCTGTCTACTTTGTTTCTTTTCTATGTACTTTCTTGCTCCAGCAGTGTCTCTCTATGTACTCGTTCTGACACTGATATACTACCCTAGCTGTTACGTGGACGTCAAACATCAAACAATCTTTCTGGGAGAGTACTTACGACAATCCGCCATATTTTTCTGCCCACCTTCGTCCCTGCGTTATACCAGGCCGGTTCATATAGCGATGACTCCTCTGGAATACACAGTCATCGTGTGAAGGTATCATGTTATAGACGATCAGACGAACCCGAGTGCTATTATTTACATACCAACATTGTATATTAGGAAAAAGTAGTAAATGACACAAAATACCATTGCTGCGAAAATAAATGACGTTTTCTATCACTAAACCTTACGGTCGTACTGCATACGATGTGAAATTCATAACATGATAGACAAATTAATGGTGCCGTCGTTCAAAGTCAGAGAGAAACATTTTGGTGCATGAAATTATAGACATTTAAATACGTCCTAGTTATTTACAGTATTTTTTCTTACAAAGTGACGTTTTCGATTTCAATGTTTAAAGTATTAAACTGACGTACTTTTCACCGCGTGCTCCAGTTTAGTACCAAACAGGGCCAGGTTCGAATCCTTCCAGTCATACTTCTTTTGTTTACGGAGAGCGGGTTTATCTGAAACGCGGTCAAATGTTGACAAGGAATGAAAATATAATTTAAGAGGTAATATTCAGATAAAATAAACACTCGTACCACACACTACTGCAGTTGTTATCGTCTAATATATACATGTCATTTATGTTTTGGTGAATCATTTCGAAATAAATAAAATATTGGAAGCCGAAACTGAACTGAACGATTTAGAAACTCCATACCTGCCATAGCTGTAACTGCCTGTCCGATCTGGTATTGATAATACATACAGCTCTGGATATACAGTGTTGGGAGCCATTTCCTCCGGAATACCTCGGAAATGTAGCACTTCCGGAGTATAACATGTTAATACAGTCGGATATTTTACGCAGGATTGAGATGAATCGTTTTAGCATTGATGATGGTATGCATCACACTTCCGTTAAGACATATTCTGATGAGGCGCTTGAGATAGGATTTAATGGAACAGCAGTGCATGAAGATGCAAATGAACATGTATATACATATTTTAAGTAAACAATAAAGTCGGTTTCTGCAGTGGCGATTTCACTCCGGCGACGAACGTCAATGAGAAACCATTCGAAAATATTTTCAAAGTTAGAATATAACGTCATCTCATGATTTTTGTCGATTATTCTAACAGGATGACGGAAATAACCGAACAATTTCCGATTTAAACATGTCCACGTATGACGGTTCTTTGTCTTATCTTTCATTACCACATCTTTAATTGGTAGATTTCTTAGAGACTTTATAACAGGAATGTAAACATTTTAGTTCAACAAGAAATGGAAGACTAAGATTTGAAACGAAGCCGTTTATGCAACTTACAGCAATTCGATGTCTATTAAGGATGCAATACTGTTGTCGTTCAGGAAATGTAAACATGAATTCATGTCCTTTTCAGTAATGGTCGTGTTATACTTATATCATAGCATACCTTTATAACAAGTACCAGTGATTGTATTTAGCGGGTTATTTTAGTAGAATATACAAGGTATATCAAGCCTTTCAAACAAGCGTATTTATGTTATTGTGACAATACAAACGAGTCAAGAATTAGATTATGCTTTCAGGTTCATGTGTCTCTGTAATGGTCAGATTGTATTTTTAGTTTTTGTATTCTAAGATCATAACGTGTAGGGCACAAAGTGTATTTAATAATGCATTATTTACTAATTTATAATAAACGGTCAAGGTCAAATTGCAAGTTGAATAATGGATTAATATTCAATATAATTTACAAGAGCGGTTTATAAAAAAAATGTTTTGCATTTGAAATACTTGTACATGTAGCAGCTTTACTAATGAGTTATAGTTCGGCTTTGGGTGGTCTCCCTTGCATAAAGAAAATAAAGAAATATTGAACTTTTTTCTGACTTTGAGTTATTTCCCTTAATAAGGTTAGATACAGAGCAGTACACATTCTTTGGTAACAACACCGGTAAAGTGTGTGATTAGTAGTGTGGTTATATTATACAGATAAAGTATAAGTATAAGGTATGCTTTGGTTATCAAATGATGTCCTTATTGACAATTAGTAATGCCGTTTTGTTACTCTGTTTCACACATGTACATTATGACGAGAATATTCGGGATGATTGTGTTATATTTCTGACTTTTCATTTTTAACGTTGTTCTCTCGAGTCGCCAGATTATATATTGTTAATTATTGGTTGCTTTGCCGTTGGAAACGCTCGTCAGCAAAAAGAACAAAGCGTTCGTTAGATAAGGACATACTTTGTCATGTACGGGCACGGATTTACCTTGTTTGTTAAGTGGATCTGTAGTTTACGTACCGATGTCAATCAGAGCAGTAAGGGTAAAAAAATATGTATTTTCAGGCACCCCGTCCGACCTTTGTTTTAACCTCCGATCCTTACAATTTTATCTCTCCTAAAAGCACTTAAACAATATTATTATCTAAAACACCTATTAATCTAATGAAAATGAATATAATTGGACTGAACATCTATGTTTAATAATTTTTATGATTTAAAAATAAATAAATACCTATCCACCTAACTTATTTGTTTCAGTCATATTACCATTAAGAGATAGTTTTCTTAAAAATGAAACATAATGTTGGCATGCTTAAAACAAATAAGTCACAGGTAGTGAGTAATTACAATATGAAGCGTATCGCGTAACCGCAAAAACTGGAGAAGGGCTCATACAATGTAAGTTAATAACTTGTCTTCGTTTAAGAGATATTTATTATCATGAACATGAGAAGTGTTTTCATCTTTTTGTAATGTCATTGTTGTTATTCATGAAATGGTGCTGTGTCGCCGATTTTTCTTAAGGTGGATGGGTTGTGTAACTGTTGCATGCATTTTGTACCTTTTCTCCATCTGATTTTTTGTTTAATTCAATGAAAATAATACAAATAAACAGTGAAAATTGTCTGTATATAAAGACAATCCAAGGGAGATAACCAATTGGTATCAATAGACAATCGGTACTTTTATATCACAATATCAGACAGTGTACACTATTTTCTCCGATTACACACAATGATATACGGACGATAGTGACATGAGAAAACCTCCATTTTATTGATTAAAATTTGACCTGTATTCACCGAAATGTTATCAGTTGTGTTTAAATCATGATCTAAATATAGAATTCGTCAAGATAATTGTTTAAACATAGATATGAAAAACCCCATCAACATAGTTGGGAGAATAGAGGTACATCGGAGCTCTGGTTACCAAACTGGGAGGTGCCCTGACATATATTTACGATGAGTGTTCATCCTTTGTCAGAAAGCACCAGGTACCAGAGATGGATGGGGGACCTGCCCGTCCCCCTCACACAGGTACCACTGTCGTGTCTCGCTATTCCAGGTAGGTCCTGTCTCAACCGTTACACAGGTATCCGTGCCACTGACCTGTCTGTATTTGTATGTAAATATGGAGATTACAAAGACAACTGTTTGGGTTCAACATGAAAAGGGAACACACCTTTCTGAAATGAAGAGAATATCGAATATGTGACTCTTTTAATAAGAATATTTAAAAGGATACTGTAAGTTAATAACCGTTATTTTAGACCGAATAGAAGTGTGGGGTTTTCTGGTATTGGTATAATGGTATGGGCTTATATTTAGTTCGTACACACGTGCTTAATATAGAAATGCAAGGCGATATCATATGTTTTAAAACCCCATCTACATAACCAGTGTGAAATCGGATCAAATTTAACACTTGACAAGGAAATAATACATCATGGTTTCCTTTCACACGCTCGAGTTCCGGGGGGGATCCCCTGTCATATTTTCCGTTATTTGGAGCTTCTCTAGAATCACTAGCAAGCGGCACCACACTCGAGTTCCGAGTGGCTGAAGCAGACGACATCACTGGCGGGTAAATCTGGTCATATATACTGTTGTGTTATTGCTATAACAATTAAATTTTATTGTCGTTGTGGTAGGAAAACGCATTTTTGTTGTGTTAAATGAAGGCTATTTGGTTACAGGGAGCCACGACTCGGGTGCCTATGGACTTGACAAGTCGGCAGGGGTGTCCGTAGACGCTTCGAAATCAGTTAAACTTCTTGGGTCACTGTGTTGTGGAGCCGGACTATCAGTGGTCAGTCGATGGTCAGTTACTCAAGATCTTACGCTCGGACAACAGCTTCAGGCTGGGATCCGATACTTCGACCTTCGTGTATGCATCAAACCGGGAACAGCTGACGCCCATTTCTTACACGGACTGTATGGTTCAAACATCCTTACTGCTTTAAGCGAGGTCAACGAATTCTTGAGCAAAAACATAAAAGAGTTCCTTATTTTGGATTTTAATCATTTTTATAACATGGATGCTATCTGTCATAAACAGTTATTGACAGGTCTGAAGCATTTGTTTGGTGCCTCACTTATACCTGTGGATGTCAGTATGTCACCTTGGCAGATGACCTTGGAAAACATCTGGAAAACTCAGATGCGCGTCCTTATATTTTACAATGACGAATCAAGTGCAAATATGAAAGAATTCTGGCCAAATTTTTCCATTCCGTCCCCCTGGCCGAACACTGATGACCCCCGGGTTCTGGTAGAGTTTCTAGAAAAGAATTACACGGGTAAAAACCGTAACAACAACGGGGACTTTTACGTATGGCAAGGGGTTCTCACTCCCGGGGCAAAGGTCATCATGGCCAACCTTTGGGGAAGTCTGAGGGACAGTCTTGTTCCCCGGGCGTCGCGGGCCTTTTTAGAGTGGGTGGCGGGTAAGGAGCCCAGCCCCCAGGGTATCAACATCTGTCTCGGAGACTTCGTTCATCTTCACGATTTTATCCCTTCCGTTCTGAGATTGAACGACAACATACAACCCTGAAATGAATTAAAAGAAGCTGTACATAAAACGCAGGAAGGAAGTATCTGTCTACCTGTTCGTCAACCTGTTCACACCTTTATATTATAAAAGTGCAAAAACTGTATATATATACCCGTATCTAACCTTTATATGTATACATGTACAAACAATTTATGATATACTTGTACATGTAAAACAAATTTGCATATACCTGTACACAACCTATATATGTATATACCTGTGAGAAACCTTTACATGTACAGTATCTATATATATATACCTGTGCATAACTTTTGTATAAATATGCATGTACACGACTTAAATAATATATGAACGAAATCAGTGATGCTTTTAACAGAGGTCACCCGTCAAATTACAATATGTGATACATTTGTCAGCCCATCGTATATTATTTGGTCTGTATTGTCATATCATTTGGATTAATACTTGTCAGTTTGGGAGTGATTATGAGGGAGGGGAAGCAGTCCCTCCCATGCTCAGATGATTATTTATGGAGCAGAGACCTCGTTCATCTTTACAATTTTTATCCCTTCCGTTTTGAGATTGAACGACAAGATACAACCCTGAAAATGAACTAAAAGAATCTCTACTACATATAACACAGGAAGGAAGTATCTAATTACCTATACGTACACTTGTTTACACCTCCATGTTATAAAAGTACAAAAACTGTATACAATTTATTCAAAGATTACAAAACAGTATGCATATGTACACAGATATATATACATATACCTGTGTATGGAGTGCATACGATATTCTATCAACCTGAGCAGATAAATAAACTGGCGATGAAGTATATTTAAATTTTAAGTCTGCTATCCACGTGGCTTTGTCTAGACATTGAAAATTGAATAAGTTATCACAGGCTCAATGGGTTTCGCTTGAAGCACATAATCTGAGTACAGTCATTTTGCTATTGTGCATACTGTTATGGTCACAATTGCGATCATCTACATGTACAGTCGTGTTTTTTTTACTGGAAACGAAACGGGTTGCCCTGAAAAATCACAAAGCTAATTTGTCGGACGTGTTGCATATGACATAGCGCTTAGAATTACTGATGTAAGGGAGGTAATCCCTCGAATATTTTAGGTAAGGGAAATGTTTATGAGACAAAATAATCAATCCCTCAAAAAGTGGAAAATGTTTAATTTCACGAGGCAAGGGAAGCTATCCCTCCAATAATGGGGAACGGTTTATGTGGGAAAGGGAGGTAATTATAATCTCTCCAGTAATGAGGGATTCTTTCAATTGTGTTAATCTTTTAACGAAATTTAAATTGTGACAGAGGCTTCCTTTATATTATCAACTATGCCGGATGAACTGATCTATATCATAAAAGATAATTTAAGCTGGTTCTATTTTTTTATTTTGTCAGGTGGATATCGAACAATTAATACATTAAATGCTACATATGAAATAGTCCCTCACACCTCACTGCCCTAGACAAACTGACTCAATACAAACATTTATTCGCGAATTCAACCTAATTTGGTGAAAGTCATGATTCAGAATATCAAATTTTCACATTATTCATTGGCTGAAAATATACAGTATTTCAAAATGAAAGACGTATTTCAGGTATAAATTGTGAGTTATCTGGTATGTGGAAGAAGGACTTTCGTCCTTTTCGGCAAGTGCATTTAATTATTTTGGAGACAACGCGTTAACACTGATCTTTTCACCCGGACCAATAAATTAGCTGTAGATAATCTGACAATAACACAGCACTCTTCACGGTAACACAGCACATCTGAAGTACTCTACCGAGGATAAAACGTCACCCAATCACTATCGGTATAATCGCACGATTGAGATAATGTGCACTGTGGAAATGAAAGTATCGCGCAATATCACAGGATGTAGTGGAATGGGTTTTGTAGAAAGGACGAGAGTGTGATCTAAAATCATGTGAATACAAGGATTTTTTTCTACATTTTCTGCTGAATGATTTGTCATGTTGTAATTGTGCCTTTAATGTTTCTCGTTTGTATTATTGACTATTATATATTATTTGTGAGTTACATGTACCTCAGATTATCCCACTGTTATTTTTCTACATTATATTAAAGTATGACTTATTATCAGAGGACCAGGTAGGAATTGATCCCCTATTCACCTGTCCTCGGCGCTATTGACTGTGTTTCACACAGACTGCCACGATCTTAACAAGCGTATGCTTGTAGCTTAATATAAGTGTTACTAGTGTTTTTATGCATCTGAACTAAATTCTGATTAATAAATTACTAAATCGAACATCATCTTTTAATATAACATTGACTCTACTTTCAATGCTAGTTGTATTTTTCTAGAGATAATGATCATAGGATAATGCCATTTTCATTCGATAGTATTTAGTATCTATTTATTTACTTAGCATTATTTTCTTGTGCACGTCTCTAGCCACACCTACGTATACCTAACGTTCAGTTTCATAAGATTTTGATCAGTCTTATTGTATGTTTTGTTATAACTAATATTTCCGGATCATTTTCGCTACAGTTAAAATTTTCGCTTTCTTCGCCTTCTGTAATGAGGACGAATTTATCATCACAGCTAATAATGAGTAATTTAAATGTAAATACATTATAGGTACTTATCAGTGGACCATATACAGTATATGTACTTATCAGTTGACCATATACAATATAGGTACTTATCAATGGACCATATACAGTATATGTAGTTACCAGTGGACCATATACATTATCAAAGGACCATATACATACAATATAGGTAGTTATTAGTGGAACATATACATTAAAGGCACTTATCAGAGGACCATATACAGTATATGTAGTTACCAGTGGACCATATACATTAAAGTCACTTATCAGTGGACCTTATACAGTATATGTAGTTACCAGTGGACCATATACATTAAAGTCACTTATCAGTGGACCTTATACAGTATATGTACTTATCAGTGGATCATATACAGTATAGGGACTTATCAGTGGACCTTATACAGTATATGTAGTTACCAGTGGACCATATACAGTATAGCTAGTTATCAGTGGCCCATATACACTATATGTTCTTATCTGTGGACCATATACAATATAGGTACTTATCAGTAGACCATATACAGTATAGAGACCTATCAGTGGACCATCTACAGTATAGGTATTTATCAGTGGACCATAAACAGTATAGGTACTCATCAGTGGACCATAAACAGTATAGGTACTTATCAATGGACCATATACAGTATAGGTACCTATCAGTGGACCATATACAGTATAGGTACCTATCAGTGACCATATACATTATCAAAGGACCATATACATACATTATAGGTAGTTATTAGTGGACCATATACATTAAAGGCACTTATCAGTGGACCATATACAGTATAGGTACTTATCAGTGGACCATATACAGTATAGGTACTTATCAGTGGACCATATACATTATCAAAGGACCATGTAAATACATTATAGGTACTTATCAGTGGACCATATACAGTATCGGTATAGGTACTTATCAGTGGACCATATACAGGATAGGTTCTTATCAGTGGACCATATACAATATAGGTACTTATCAGTGGACCATATACATTATCAAAGGACCATGTAAATACATTATAGGTACTTATCAGTGGACCATATCCAGTATAGGTACTTATCAGTGGACCATATACGGTATAGGTACTTATCAGTGGACCATATACAGAATATGTACTTATCAGTGGACCATATACAGTATCGGTATAGGTACTTATCAGTGGACCATATACAATATAGGTACTTATCAGTGGACCATATACATTATCAAAGGACCATGTAAATACATTATAGGTACTTATCAGTGGACCATATACAGTAAAGGTACTTGTCAGTGGACCATATACAGTATAGGTACTTATTAGTGGACCATATACAGTATATGTACTTATCAGTGGAACATATACAGTATAGGTACTTATCGGTGGACCATATACAGAACAGGTACTTATCAGACTTATCAGTGGACCATATACAATATAGGTACTTATCAGTAGACCATATACAATATAGGTACTTATCAGTAGACCATATACAGTATAGGTACTTATCAGTGGATCATATACAGTATAGGTACTTATCAGTGGATCACATACAGTATAGGTACTTATCAGTGGACCATAAACCCATATACAGTATAGGTACTTATCAGTGGACCTTATACAGTATATCTAGTTACCAGTGGACCATATACAGTATAGGTACTTATCAGTAGACCATATACAGTATAGGTACTTATCAGTAGACCATATACAGTATAGGTACTTATCAGTAGACCATATACAATATAGGTACTTATCAGTGGACCATATACAATATAGGTACTTATCAGTGGACCATATACATTATCAAAGGACCATGTAAATACATTATAGGTACTTATCAGTGGACCATATCCAGTATAGGTACTTATCAGTGGACCATATCCAGTATAGGTACTTATCAGTGGACCATATCCAGTATAGGTACTTATCAGTGGACCATATATAGTATAGGTACTTATCAGTGGACCATATACAGTATAGGTACTTATCGGTGGACCATATACAATATAGGTACTGATCAGTGGACCATATACAGTATAGGTACCTATAAGTGGACCATATACAGTATCGGTACTTATCAGTGGACCACATAAAGTATAGGTACTTATCAGGGGACCATATACAATATAGGTACAGTAAAGGTACTTATCGGTGGACCATATAAAGTATAGATACTTATCAGTGGACCATATAAAGTATAGGCACTTATCAGTGGACCATATGCAGTATAGGTACTTATCAGAGGACCATATAAAGTATAGGCACTTATCAGTGGACCATATTCAGTGGACCATATACAATATAGGTACAGTAAAGGTACTTATCGGTGGACCATATAAAGTATAGATACTTATCAGTGGACCATATTCAGTGGACCATATACAGTCTAGGTACTTATCAGTGGACTATATAAAGTATAGGTACTTATCAGCGGACCATATAAAGTATAGGAACTTATCAGTGGACCATATGCAGTATAGGTACTTATCAGTTGACCATATACAGTATAGGTGGACCATATACAGTATATATACTTACAGTATAGGTATTTATCAGTGGACCATATAGAGTATATGTACTTATCAGTGGACTATATACAGTATAAGTACTTATCAGTGGACCATAAACAGTATAGGTACCTATAAGTGGACCATATACAGTATAGGTACTTACCAGTGGACCATATACAGTATAGGTATTTATCAGTGGACCATATATAGTATATGTACTTATCAGTGGACCATATACAATATAGGTACATATCAGTGGACCATATAGAGTATAGGTACTTATCAGTGGACCATATACAGTATAAGTACTTATCAGTGGACCATATACAGTATAGGTACTTATCAGTGGACCATATACAGTATAGGTACTTATCAGTGGACCATATACAGTATATGTACTTATCAGTGGACCATATACAGTATATGTACTTATCAGTGGACTATATACAGTAAAGGTACTTATCGGTGGACCATATACAGAACAGGTACTTATCAGTGGACCATATACAGAAAAGGTACTTATCAGTGGACCATAAACAGTATAGCTACTTATCAGTGGACCATAAACAGTATAGGTACTTACCAGTGGACCATATACAGTATAGGGACTTATCGGTGAACCATATACAGTATTGGTACTTATCAGTGGACCATAAACGGTATATGTACTTATCAGTGGACTATATACAATATAGATACTTATCAGTGGACCATATAGAGTATAGGTACTTATCAGTGGACCACATACAGTATAGGTACCTATCAGTGGACCATATACAGTAAAGGTACTTATCGCTGGACCATATACAGAACAGGTACTTATTAGTGGACCATATACAGTATAGCTACTTATCAGTGGACCATATACATATAGGTACGTATCAGTGGACCATATATAGTATAGGTACTTATCAGTGGAACATATACAGTATAGGTACTTATTAGTGGACCATATACAGTATAGTACTTATCAGTGGACTATATACAGTATAGGTACTTATCGGTGAACCATATACAGTATTGGTAATTATCAGTGGACCATATACAGTATAGGTACTTATCAGTGGACCATATACAGTATAGGTACAATATTGAACCCGTTGTTTGATGATGGTTTAGCAATCTATTAACACAATATTGTCTTATTAGACCACTTTACCAGATGATCTTGTCAGTGACCACAGGAATGAGAGCCAGATCTGAAACGAAAAGACGTAGATGGTTTTGAAGGGCCTCTTGAACCACGCACTGGTTTCGATCCCCGAAGTTCACTCAGAGAAATAAAACAATGTGTGGTATTGTGTTGTCTATATATATCGACCTTATTGCATTATAAAACCCTTTAAGAAAATGAGTAGTTTCCGTAACTATCTAATACAAACACATTGACTCCTTGTGCGTGCATATTAAAGTGGGCTACTGTAAGTAGCATCAAACAGCTGAGGCTGAGTAGAGACCCGGATGCTGCTGTTTTTGCGAATCCCCAAATTTGGCACAGAAGGCGGAAGTGATATAATAGGAGAAAGTTTCACAAACAGTCCCGGCAGACTTTTGGCAGAGAGAGAAAGGAGGAGCGCCAGACGGAGAAGGTAAGTAGATATAACGGACGAATAACAAGTCATTGTAATAAGATTTGTAATTTGTTTTACATTTTAACTTTAACATTCTTTGATAAAAAAATTCGACCAGTTAGTAGATATTTTACAACTATGAATCATGTTTATTTGCAAGTCTGCAGCCACGCCTAGCTCAGTACCGGCAAGATCGGTACTGTTTCGTACGTCTTGCTAAATCAAACGCAACGTGTGTAAATAATTTTCAGGATAAAAAGAGAAAGATTTCAATTTCAAATTTATCTGGTACTGAATTTGCAACCATATTACTTCTTTGGAGGTGTTGAATTATCAATCCAAACAAAATTGATTTATTTTTTATTAACATTTTTCTATAAGTTTGAATCGAATGAAAAAAATTGGCCTAAAGCAATTATGATTTGAAATGGTTTCAAGGAGATGTATTTTTTAAATACAAATTTACACGTACAAACCATTAAAGAGATAGACTGGTACTTCTAAAAATAGTTTCTGCTAGTCACGGCCTTGATGTTTGGAACGAGTGTTATTTACTTGAAACTACGCTAAGCATTGAAGCAGGAGGTTCATCTGTAGTATCAGTCGGCTAGCGGTAATAACTGCTGAGTTTGAACCTTGACCTCTAGGTAAACCGTACTCCAGACTTCAGCATCTAATCAAACCATCATAATTATTTTATCCTGGGGCGACTTCGCGCGCTACTCATTTTGATAACATGTTAAACAATTCACACGAGAGAGTATGCAATGTACATGTTCATTGTAAAACGAGCGTCCTGGTAAAATAATGGACTTTCAGAAAGGATGCAAGGATATGCAATTTCGTTTTGAAACACATATATGGCCGGATTAATGACATAGAGAGGGACGGATTAACGTCATAGAGGATGCGAGTTTAACGACATAGACATGGCGTGATTAACGATATAGACAAGACTGAATTACCGATATAAACAAGGCAGTATTAACGATATAAACAAGGCAGTATTAACGATATAGATAATGTGGGATTAACAATATAGACAAGGCAGGATTAACGATATAGACAAGGCAGGATTAACGATATAGACAAGGCAGGATTATCGATGTAGACAAGGCGGGATTAACGATAAAGACAAGGCGGGATTAAAGATATATACACAAGGCGTGATTAATGACACAGACAAGACGGGGTTAATGACACAGACAAGACGGGATTAATGACATAGACAAGGCAGGTTAAACGACATAGACAGACGGGATTAACGATAAAGACGAGGCGGGATTAACGATATATACACAAGGCGTGATTAATGACACAGACAAGATGGGATTAATGACATAGAAAATGCAGGTTTAACGACATAGACAGACGGGATTAACGATAAAGACGAGGCGTGAATAATGACATAGACAAGGCGTGAGTAATGACACAGACAAGGCAGGTTTAACGACATTGAGAATACTGGATTTACGACACAGAGAAGAACAAATTAACGACTGGGTTGTTTTAGTTGATGGACATTATTCCTGGTTCGTATATTAGTTCCCGAACATATTTTAATGTCCGAAATATCGATAGGCCACTGTGGATATTTCATTGGTTCTTTTGTGATGTTTAGTTTATTATTATAACTCACCGAATCCCCTGTCGCGACCCTCAATATAACTCACCGAATCCCCTGTCGCGACCCTCAATATAATTTCAAACCAAATCCTGTCGCGACCCTCAATATAATTTCTCACCGAATCCCCTGTCGCAACCCCCACCTCCACTTCCGTGTATGTTATTAACTCACAAACATGCTCACAAACGCACACGTGCAAGGAAATTAGAGGGACAGCATACCACTTGTACATTATGTATTTTGTGATGCTGTTATCAACACAAAACTTACTATTAAGTACTCCTCCACAGTAATGATAAGCACATGCGGTACAGAAGAGTTCCGAGGTTACAGCTTTACAGCAAACTTTGTGCCCAACTCCCTATGGTAATTTAACTGGAACTGGTTTTTTTTCTAGTTTTGTACCCCAGAAAACGTATACAAAATAAACATGTTCCTACAACTTTCGTGCTTTTCAATTACTTCATAGTGAAGTTTTCTGTGTAAATGAAACGTATAAATTCGGGATCCGTGATCTGGCTCTGAGCCTGAAAACTAACCAATGTGAAAATAAACTTTAAGCAATCGTCAGATTGTGGTTTTCATATAGATCAGATGAATGATATCATAGTTAAATGTGTGTTACAGAGAGAAAAATCGATTTTTGACATTATTTATAGTCGTAAATTTTCTTGAAAATACCAACTGCGGCGAACAAAATATCACTGCAAGGAATTGTAATCAACGACAATATGCTGAAGTATATATATAGATGGCTGGATGTGGATATTAAGCTGCAGAGTGCATTTAAACATGATACACTTAGCTTGCGGGGTAAACATTTGGTTCTCTGTTGGAACTGCACACCATTGTATTTACAAGTTGTTAGTATCAGCGAAGTTTACAAACGATCCCGGTTCTATTACCGATGGCCATGCCAACAGCGTTGGGTTAGTGCCAGCCCTTTCCTCGCCCCTGTTTCTCCCTCAAGGCCATGAGCCGGTGAATACAGGAATAGTTCCATCCCCAGCATGTTAGGATCAGTATTTGATGTATCTAATGCAAGCCTCCCAGCTAGTGCCCTCTCCTCGTTCCTTTAATTACTTACACCCCTCCGTACCTCGGACATGGTTTGTGAAAATAGACTGATTGACCAAACGTCTGGTGCCGAAAGTATTTTACCGCCCGGATGTAATGGCTATACCTGCTTTTCGGGATCATTCTTATGAATCATTCACTTACATAACACATTTAAATCTAATCTTACAATCTTAAGTGGGGCCTGATCTTTGAACGTTTTTTTTGTTTGTTTTAGAACACATTCATCATTTTAAATTTATTTTTTTAACAAAAAGGATTGTAAAACACTGCAAATATGTAAAAACATTGTAAATATATAAATGTACAACATCGTGAAAATTTCAACATCGTGTAAAGTTCTTAACCGTTAAAATTATAAATAAAGACATTAAATAAATAAAAAAAACACGGTTTAAATACAATATCGTGGAAACGGAAAAATAGTGTAAATGTACAATATCGTGGAAACGGAAAAATAGTGTAAATGTAAAATAGTGTAAATGTAAAATATCGTGGAAACGGAAAAATAGTGTAAATGTAAAATATCGTGTAAATGTACAATATCGTGAAAACGGAAAAATAGTGTAAATGTAAAACAGTGTAAATGTACAATATCGTGGAAACGGAAAAATAGTGTAAATGTAAAATATCGTGTAAATGTGCAATATAGTGTTAATGTTCAACGCTGTGTAAATCACGTAAAAGAACAACATTGTGTTGATGAACAACTTCATGTTATGTCAAAATACTGGTGAAATCTAAGGCGTTTACCAGAGGTTGATAAATGGCGGCGTGGCCATGTTATGTTCGAGAGGTTTTAAAGGTTTTGTAAATGGCTTGATTTCCTGCCAACAGAGGTGCTATCAGACGAGGACATTCCAGCTCTACCTAGCCGAAGTTGTTGATACTTTTAATAATTGTAACCAGGAGAGGAAAAATGCAAAGCCAGACCGACATTCGAACAGTGACCTCCGAACTCCAGAGAGACGCTCTGACCAATTGAGCTACCTGGTCGCCGACTGGCAACCCAGACAAGTTCCATTATATTCCTCCCTTCCTTTTCCAACTTTTCATCTTAGGCAGCGCTATTTACACACGATGTTCGGGTACCCACTTGCCAAGCTTACATAACACCGCTGTAGCAGAGAAGAACAGTGCACCCAGACCGAGACCCGAACTCGGCACCTCCGAACTCTAAATGGAGGCTTTAACCAATTTAGCTACATGGAAACCGGTGATTGACGCAGTTCACTCTGTACCATGTTGTACTAATGGATCATGTTTGAAGATGCCGAGGTAATTCGAATCATCAAGAAGTCTATAATAGAAACGTCCTGCTTACATTGAGAGCGAAATGATTCTCCCACACTTCACAGGTGCTGTCCTGTTTTTGCTCGGTAAATCATTAATATATAGAGTCTATCATATGTAGGTATGTGGGATATGATTATTCTGCACTCAAAGAAATAGCACGAGGTTATGCTAAACTTCAAAGTGTTATTCCAAGGGTTGGTATTTCTCTATCTTCATCACAAAAGAGTGATATAATCTATTAATACATGCCTACATTTTACTGTCGCTCTGCTAGTTAAAATATAACTTACCACTTTAAACATTCAAATTGGCATTTGACGTTAACATTTTCTTTAGTTTTATGTAATTTTCTTGAACATGTTTATATGAAACCATATATTGGTACCAATGACCTCTTCCCTGTCCTCTATGAGTTCTCATACTGGTAACACGACATCTCACCCGGGTGAGAAAATCCTGTCTGGTGAGAAGTTTTATTGTAAATGGGAGCATCGATTTCAAACCCATTACGACTGTATTTATGAACATGGAGATTCATATATATGAACAAATATATCAGTGTTTTGAGGGTTTGTCGTAGATGTTTTCTCAGTGTTTAATAGATGTAATGTAAATATATTGCTTTGCGTCGTACACAAATTGTTTATATTAGGATTGAACTCCTTTTTTTATGAAATAGATACATTCGTACCCTTGAGTTTATCGACAAACACACACGATATAGTTTAAATCTGATTCTAACACCAGTCTTTGCTTAGCTATATGTGTGTTTAAATGCTTTACATGAAAATCTTTGTCTAATGTGAAAGTCAAATTGCTTGGTTTGTGCGGATTGATGGGAAACAACACCCAGTTTTGATGTTCCTGTTTTCCCGCGAACTGATCTGTCAGCAAGCAAACAAAATAGTCCCGTCAAAATAAATGTTTTATTCTCAAAAAATAATAATCTGGTCACATCATTTACAAACAAATGGTGTCTCAAATCAAATTTTATCATCTAGCTATCCAAAAACTGGGTGTTAATATTTCAGCACGCTGAAGAACATTTTCGGAGTGTATTCAGTTTATTACGTGCTGACTTGGCAACTGAACTTGATTAAAAGATAAACTTCAGTTGGAAAACAGAAGTCATGCTAATCACATACTGTTAATACGCATATTAATTTGTAATTAATCAAAATTTAATTATCAATATCATGCATCTAACATATAGAGTATACTTTTATTCCTAGCAAAAAATATTATTCGATTTCACAATTTCTTGCACAACCAGCAGGATACAGATATATACTCATCAGACAACAGTTGCCCTCCCTGCACTTACAAACAACAATAGACGGTACATAAAACCAAACGGACTCTTACATCAAACAGAATAGTGCTGTACCACAAACAAACGAGTTTTTGGCAGAGATTCTTGAGATATTGTGACCTGGACCATCATAACACTACAAAGCATCTCTGTAACCCAGACTAGATGTTCATCAACACAAGCTGTCGACATAACAGATTCAAGAGCGCGTTTGCCGAGTTGTATAAAACGGTCCTGTTTCGCATGAGCTTGCGTTTTCAAAGCAGGTCGAGAAGTGCATTTATAAATCAGACATGCGATATGCTGATTGCTTTGAAATTCTTTTCAGAGTGTGCACACTTGAAGTTTGTTTCAAGTAAACATAGATAAAAGTACAAAATAATATGTCTTTAATATAATTTATTTTAACAACATAAATTTATTAGCAGACATCCCCTTTCGCCGTAAATAATCTTGGTATGTGATTGCATCAATTCCTAGAGAGGACCTTGGTAGATAGTTTTCTCTTCTAATGGTCAGGTAAGATGTTAACCAACTATCTCCACCATTAAAGAGTTCCACAGTTAGATACGTATCGGTGTCTATAAATCGGGACATTTTTTCTTAGCATGCATCATATGTTTGAGGGAAATAAGGGTAAACATGAATATGAGAAGTTATTTTAGACGGAATCAGTTGGGAACACGTTAGATCACATAAACAAACAAACAAGTACACATCAGACGTGAACACGATACACCACAAAGCATTGTGTGTACCGGAACGTGCGTTATCTCCTGTAGTACTAACACTTCTCGTTCTAAGTACGTACATAAGTATATAGTTTCCTGTATGCTCGTACGGGTCCCAACAAACTTAACATCGCTATACATGATACGGATTCTGTCAGATCTCGTTCAAAACAGTAGCTAAAATAGCTCATGACAAAATGATACACCGGGTGATACGTCAGTCATCACACGGCATTGTCGGTAATGATTCAGCCGAGTGGCATGCTAGTCGACTCGCTCATGATCAGCTAGTATAAGGTTCTTTACAGTTTACGAAACTAATTATGAATCATAAGGGAGCTTTTCATACCAGTATACAGGCAATGGATGAGGCTATCGAATGGGTTTCTGTAGTACCAGATTTAACAGTCAATTGGAAAGGTTATTGAGGGAGTTTCTGGACACGTTGTCAAAAATAAAGCAAGTCACGATGCAATAGGAGCGCAATTTGAGGTTAAAATATTACTGGTTTAACGTGTAATGTGATCATGAAGATTATGTAATATTTTATTAATATACCGGCCAAGTTATCCTATGTACGATTTCAGCAGCCAAGCTGATGTGTAAGTCTTACTTCAGCTATAAAACGTAATTCCAGATGGTATCGCATCCTGTCTTAACTGATAGAAAATAAAGATATAGAAGTTCTATATTAAGAAGTGTTGAAGACAACATGTGCTAGAATGAAACACCTTATGTATTCACAATGACCATCGCACGTTTGTTAAAACATAGGCCTTCTGTATGCCACTGCGTGTTATATAGGTCTCCTAAAGCACGTGTCATCATATGGCCTTTAATTAGCTGTTCAGCCCGAAACAAATATCAAGAATACTTGATATTTTACACATGTTATACTGGTTTGTAAATTATTACATTATTGACGTTACAAATATCCCAACGCCGGACACCGTATTGTTTTGGACTCTTCAATATAAAATGACAATGGAGGTTTGGTAAATTTATATCAGTTGTTATATGGAATTGGTCCCTCAGTTGCTGCCTGCTTAATTATTCGACTTGTTTGGCGGTAATCCAGCTTGTTTCTCATCGACATGTTTTAGAGAATACATATTGATAACTCACAGATCTGTACTCCAGGCCTTTTGTGGATCAGATATGGACTCTGATTCAGAATAACCTTCCATATTTTTGAATCCTTACAATTGTAGGGCTTTCTAAATGTTCACCAGCTTTACCACGCTTAATAAGAGCGCCCTACTAACCGCAGTGAAAGTTTATCAATGATATAGAGATTTCGATCAAATGTGCACGTGGATGACATGTTTTCAAGAATTTCTGGAGAACTTTGAATCGCTGTTTTTTTTCGAGACAACTATTTAGTTTTTCAAATTGCATATATCACTTTACCTCTCACCAAACTTTAATCACGCCTCAAAGATTAGTTTATAAGTCCTTCTCGTCTAAAATTTACAAATCGAGACATACTAGAAATGAGACTGGTTTTATTTCAACATTTTATTGCAAGAAAACATACACGAATGATGAAGGTGTTCCGAGCGTCAACTTTGTAATCGATCGCACTTTGTGTTTTTTTTTTTTAATGCTAAACGCATACTATTGTTATCCCAATTAACTTTTCACAGTGCACGACTTCCTGTCGACCAAATTTAGGGTGAATTTATACAGGAATCTTTAAAGAAAGAAAAAAAACTATAGTATAATGTCCTGTCATTTAACTTCACACCCATACATATTGCCAGGGTTTTCTACAGGAGACATTTCTACCTACGCTGCAGAAATATTTCAGTCCTTACCATGACGTGATTTTAACGCTTTAGGTGTCAGTATTCCGGCCTTGCTTAAATACTTATTTATTACGATGACGGATGATGATACATGCTTTGCAGGAATCTTTATAAATCCGAAACACCATTTTTCACATTTGAAAGACTTTGACTTCGGATTTTGTCTTTGTGCTTTTGGAGTTTTGGCATATTTTCCCTCTATTTCAAAAACATACTCGCACTTCAACCAATCACATACATTTCCTCTTGGAGTATAAGCACGCCCGTCACCATGCTTGACACGTGTTTTAGGGTTCTTGCAACGATTTCAAATTATTTGCAACTATTTATATTCCCGTTAACACAACTCTACATACGATCTTCGGTGAACTCCTATGTGGAGTGTCTATACGTGTCACGCCGGTATCCGGGTACTTTTCAATATCTTCACAAACTTTTGCAATTAAAACTAGGAATGATGTCTGTATCAAAGTTAGGAGTTTGAACTCGACAAAAACAAACGCTTAATAAAATATGTGCCAGAGGCTTCAATTACTTGTTATGATTACTTTCCTAAGTACATGTTTGAAGTTTTAAATTGCATCGCTGCTTTTTTTGCTGAAATAAATATGTATATATAAACTTCATTTTCGATTTATTTTACTTCCAGTTTGAATATCATCTCGAGAATCTAGAAGAAGCATCACCATGGCAGGTAGGTACTACCTAATCATAATGGTTTGTCTTATGTCTGTACTATTAATATATTCTGTTCTGTTAAAAAACAAGATCAAATTGCGTTTAATTTACTTTTTAAATCTTACATTGAAATATATAATATAATCAAAATACAATAGAATCTAATAAAGTATAACATGTTATTCAGGTCAAGAAAACCTCATCATCAAAGTTTAAGGATGCGTTATAGTAATAAATGGAAGTCTCGCTATTTCAATACGATTTCTCATTTAATTGTACAGTTTTACGATGATTTGGCCTCCGATGAAAATCCATGATGTCTTTATATAAACACTGATGTCTTTTTTATAAACTTATGACATATTTTTTATGAACCCATGATGTCTTTCCTTTCGTTTTGATGTCACGTTTTTTCCTGTTGTTTTCTTTCCTTTTGTTTTGATGTCACATTTGTTCCTGTTGCTGCCTTTTCTTTTGTTTTGAGGTCACCTTAGCTCCTGTTGTTTTTTTCTGTTGTTTTGAAGTTTTTTCAGTAACTGTTGTTGTCTTTTCTTTTGTTTTGATGTTTCATCTTTTTGAATACATCCATGTCTTTTGTCTTTGTCTCTTCACGCTGTGATATATTTTGTCCTTATGTGTTGATACTATGGTATAATTTGTTTTCGTGTGTTGTCGCTGTGGTATATTTTGTCCTTGTGCTGACACTGTGGTCTATTTTGTCCTTGTGTGCTGACACTGTGGTATATTTTGTCCTTGTGTTGACACTGTGGTATATTTTGTCTTTGTGTTGACGCTGGGGTATATTTTGTCCTTGTGTTGACGTTGTGGTATATTTTGTCCTAATGAGTTGACACTGTGGTATAGCTTGTCCTTGTGTTAACACCGTGGTATATTTTGCCTTTGTGTTGACGCTGGGGTATATTTTGTCCTTTTGAGTTGACGCTGTGGCATATTTTGTCCTTGTGTTGACGCTGTGGTATTGTATATTTTGTCTGTGTGTGTTGCTGTGTGGTTTATTTTGTCCCTATGTTTTGACGCTGCGGTATATTTCGTCCTTGTGTTGACGCTGTGGTATATTTTGTCCTTGTGTTGACGCTGTGGTATATTTTGTCCCTATGTTTTGACGCTGTGGTATATTTCGTCCTTGTGTTGACGCTGTGGTATATTTTGTCCTTGTTTTGACACTGTGGTATATTTTGTCCTTGTGTATCGACACTGTGGTATCTTTTGTCCTTGTGTTGACGCTGTGGTATATTTTGTCCCTATGTTTTGACGCTGTGGTATATTTTTTCCTATTGAGTTGACACTGTGGTATATTTTGTCCCTATGTTTTGACGCTGTGGTATCTTTTGTCCTTTTGAGTTGACGCTGTGGTATATTTTGTCTGTGTGTGTTGATGTGTGGTTTATTTTGTCTTTGTGTTTCGACGCTGTTGTATATTTTATCCTTGTGTTGATACTGTGGTATTTTTTGTCCTTTTGAGTTGACGCTGTGGTATATTTTGTCCCTATGTTTTGACGTTGTGTTATTTTTTTGTCCTTGTGTTGACGCTGTGGTTTATTTTGTCTTTGTGGGTTGACACCGTGGTATATTATTTCTGCTTCCTATTCCTAAATGAAAGTTAAAATATTAAGACATGCTTTCCGTTTCTCTTTTTCTGAATTGATATATTATAGTCAATTTACACACACACACACACACACACACACACCACAGGCATTTCAGTTAAAAAACAATGTCTGCCATGGTTTCATGGTACATGTATGTTAAATGTTTTCAGGTTTGAGAAAGGCAAAGAAGTACAACTGGAAGGATTCCAACATGGCGCTGTTCGGCTCCAAAACCGATAGAGAAGTCAAAAGTACGAGTTGTTTTGTGTGGATAATTAAAAATGGGGCACCATAAAGGTTTAATAAAGTCATATACCGTGTATCGGTGAAACTAGCCATTGACAGAGTATGATAATGCTACTCCGTTTGTATAATATCAAATGCGACATTACAGAGTTTTGATTAGGTTTGGTTGTATTTTGTTTAACGTCCTATTAACAGCTAAGGTCATTACAGAATGAGTCTCCATGTGTGTTGTGAATGCGTGTTTGTGTGTATGTGTGTTGGAGAATGGGTACGTTATTGTAATTGCCTCCTTGTGATAGCGCGGATCTGTTGTCCATTTTAGAGTGCTTCCTCACTGAAATACCATGCCAATGGCACCCATCACAGAATTCTCATTTTACAATTCTCGTCAAATTCACAACTTAGACATATCAAGGTTTCTGATGTTTGATTTTGTTTTTGTGTATTGAAGCTGTGATATACACATACATATAAATGATTAACAATGGTATTTATTTGTACTATAAGTCGTGGTTTGATTCATTTTATTTTACCAGAGTCGTCTGCACAGACAGAGCCAGCGTGGGAGGGTGCTGGCCAGGTCGAAGGATTGCAGATCTGGAGGATCGTGGTAGGTTACTGGTCAAATTGAAGCTAAACTAACCACGTGTTTTTATAATGGGTCAATGTATGAGTGATGACAGGAATAAATTATTATTTTGTGTTTTTTGCAAAATAGTAGTGACTGGATAAGAGCTGACTAGATTAATTAGTAGTTACTGAAATAGTGGTGACTGGATTAATTAGTAGTAACTGAAATAGTGGTGACTGGATTAGAGCTGAGTGGATTAATTAATGGTTATTGTTACAGCGATGACTGGATTAGAGCTGAGTGGATTAATTAATGGTTATTGTTACAGCGATGACTGGATTAGAGCTGAGTGGATTAATTAATGGTTATTGTTACAGCGATGACTGGATTAGAGCTGAGTGGATTAATTAATGGTTATTGTTACAGCGATGACTGGATTAGAGCTGAGTGGATTAATTAATGGTTATTGTTACAGCGATGACTGGATTAGAGCTGAGTGGATTAATTAATGGTTATTGTTACAGTGATGACTGGATTAGAGCTGAGTGGATTAATTAATGGTTATTGTTACAGTGATGACTGGATTAGAGCTGAGTGGATTAGTTAATGGTTATTGTTACAGTGATGACTGGATTAGAGCTGAGTGGATTAATTAATGGTTATTGTTACAGTGATGACTGGATTAGAGCTGAGTGGATTAGTTAATGGTTATTGTTACAGAGATGACTGGATTAGAGCTGAGTGGATTAATTAATGGTTATTGTTACAGTGATGACTGGATTAGAGCTGAGTGGATTAATTAATGGTTATTGTTACAGTGATGACTGGATTAGAGCTGAGTGGATTAATTAATGGTTATTGTTACAGTGATGACTGGATTAGAGCTGAGTGGATTAATTAATGGTTATTGTTACAGTGATGACTGGATTAGAGCTGAGTGGATTAATTAATGGTTATTGTTACAGTGATGACTGGATTAGAGCTGAGTGGATTAATTAATGGTTATTGTTACAGTGATGACTGGATTAGAGCTGAGTGGATTAATTAATGGTTATTGTTACAGTGATGACTGGATTAGAGCTGAGTGGATTAATTAATGGTTATTGTTACAGTGATGACTGGATTAGAGCCGGATGGATAAGTTAATGGTTATTGTTACAGAGATGACTGGATTAGAGCTGAGTGGATTAGTTAATGGTTATTGTTACAGTGATGACTGGATTAGAGCCGGACGGATAAGTAAATGGTTATTGTTACAGAGATGACTGGATTAGAGCTGAGTGGATTAATTAATGGTTATTGTTACAGTGATGACTGGATTAGAGCCGAGTGGATTAATTAATGGTTATTGTTACAGAGATGACTGGATTAGAGCTGACATTGTTGATGGTGGGGATATCATTGCTAATGAGTTAGTTGTATATATGTACCTGTATTAGTGATGACTGGATTAGAGCTGACATTGTTGATGGTAGGGATATCATTGCTAATGAGTTAGTTGTGTATATGTACCTGTATTAGTGATGACTGGGTTAGCGATGTGTGGTGAATTGATCAAAGTGTTTCCACTTCATTCAGAAATTTCGCAGAATTTTGTATTTATGCGAGTACTGCTAGTAAATCTCTTGCTCTTTTGATAGTCAGGATAAAGTTTGACAAATTTTCCTTCAGTACAATTTGTGTATTTCAGAAATTCAAGGTGACCCACTGGCCTAAGGAACAGTATGGACATTTCTACGATGGAGATTCCTATATCATTCTTAAGGTATGTCTAAAACGGCTAATAATGGCAATATACGTGTCGAAATGTATTACACAGCAGTATATTTACCGTAACTTTTATAAGTTCTAAAAAAGAAACTGTATCTAAAATGTCTTCTTTACTTTGCCAGACAACTGACAACCCCGGAAATAGTGAATTAGCCCTCCATGTTCATTTCTGGATTGGGAAGCACAGTAGCCAGGTAAGTAATATGTTTTCTTGTTCATTCCGAGTGTTATTTATCCAATCGGTTAAGGATCTCTGTCCCACTGTGGGAAAAACACTAGAAAAGGAACAATAGCTTTTAATGCACCCAGTAACCTCCAGTTTAAAGGCTAAGTTTGTTTTGAATACAAATAGGAATTGAAAACTTATTGCCCCCTCCCCATCCCCCCATAAACATTTTCATAAACGTTCCGCTATATATGGATTTTCTTTTTAGAAATGATTTATCATTTAATGATTGTCATGCCGGAATGCATGATTCTTAGGTTACGTACAAAAGTTAACTCATTCACCCCTAAAATTTCATAATGAGCTATTCCAACCTTTAAATTGGAGGAGTTCAAATGTGTCTTCAGGGGTGAAAGAGTCAAACATTTTTATTATTTGAATATTTTTAGTGTTCCACATGTATACTTTTTATAAACTTAATCTCGTGCAATTCATATTCCTTATTCTAATCGAACCAAATTTAAGCATTTCTTTAAACAAAAACTCATTCTATTGTTTTCTACGTTAAAGCGAAGTATATGCAAATCCCTGTAAAAATTAAATATTCACCTTAAACTTCTATGAAACATACGATTCCCATTAGGTAATCTTTAACTGTTGGGAATAATAATATGACTTTTTACCTTGTGATATGCGCTGTTTTAAAATCTTTGACCGTGCCCGTGCATATTTTGCCCTTTGCCCTTGTGGGATGTAGCCTGTGTAACCTTTGATCCTATTTAACCTGCTACACGTGTCGTCACAGGACGAGTATGGGACGGCGGCCTATAAGACTGTGGAGTTGGACACACTGCTGGATGACAGGGCCGTACAGCACAGGGAGGTCCAGGGGCACGAATCCGCTCTCTTCAAATCCTACTTTGAAACCATTGTGTGAGTGAATATCTCGACGAATCCCGAACACTTTCAGTGTGAGAAGAAGTCTTTCTCACTTCCGGTGCGCTGTTTTCTGAACAGTGTCTAACATTTAAAGGCCGATTGGCGTAGTTTGGCGTAGTTATCAAGTTACAATCATTTTTAATTGCATTACAATCTTTCATCCCTGTGTAACGATCCAAAGCATCAGTAGATGCATACACCCAAGAATTGTGTGTGAAGCACCTAAGTTCGACAGACTGGGTCAATTTTGGAAGTATTTTGACCTTGAATGAAAATGGTGCCTTTTTCTTTTTTTGTTTTATCTTAAAAATCACGCCCGTATCATCCGAAATGCGTGCACTGAGGCGTACATCTTTTGAAATTCTGAGCATTGTTATGTCACATAAGTATCGAAGTACGTAAGTGATAATGTCATGACAATATGATGTGTTGAACAGTACTATGGACGGTGGAGCTGACACTGGCTTCCGTCATGTAACACCGGAGGAATACAAACCAAGGCTGCTTCACTTCAGCGGTAGTCGTAGGACAGTGGAGGTTAACGAGGTAGGTATAGGACAGTTGAGGTTAGCGCGGTAGGTATAGGACAGTTGAGGTTGTGATTTCTATTTTTTTCAATCATGTCTGTTTGACATTATGTCCCGCCTACTAACCATGTATGTCTGTAAATTCGGGTATAACGCTTGTTTAATGAGTATAAGGTATCGATATAATGATACCTTGGTATTGAATGAACGGCTAAACATTCATTGGAGACATATTTCCGAAATATAATCCTAGTTATACAAACATTGTTCCACTTTTAAACAGGAGATTTATTGTTTCTGCAGAAAAACCGTTGACCTACCATTAAGGATGTATGCTACATTACACATTATACCGACAATTTGTAGAAGATTTATCTCCCTTGTAATTTAAACCCATTATTGTATTCTTCAAAATTGTACATTTTGATTTACTTTCTCAAAAGCTCCTAGTTACTATTAACAACGCTTAATGTAAGGTTTCTTGTTGAATTCTTTTGGAATAGAGATGCGTTTGTTAGCTTCATTAATCCTAATAGCGATTCTCTTTAACAAAATTCAGGTAGAAGTTTTACGATATTGAAAATACCAATGACAAATATTGAACTGCATAGTGTTTCTTTACGCAGGTACCGCTTTGCAGGAGTTCACTTAATACTAATGACGTCTTCATCCTCGACCTTGGAAGAGAAATATATCAGTGGAACGGATCTGACTCCAGCAAGGACGAGCGTTTCAAGGTCATTACCATTCATTGTTTGAACAGTAACGATTCCCGGGAACGGTCTAGGGGTTGTAAAGTGTACATAATTATATATAAAGGTGAGGTAGTTTTCTAACATATCTAGGGTTGGGAGTTAGCGTGCAGACGCCATCTGAGAGTGATTGAAGTGTCCAGATTCGAACTCAGTGATGGGGTAGGTGGGGTTGGGGACAGGGGGAGGGGGCTGTGTTGTTTAAGGGGAAAGCGGTTGAGGTAGTTTCAGATGGGATCAGGAAGATCTCCAAAAGAAAATAATTTTCAAGACGCAATCAGAAATAACCACTCCGAATTACACAATCAAGAAAACAAATTCTGTAGGGATAAGAATGTCCTAGTTATCTGATAATTTGAGTTTTGTTAGGAAATGATGGAGATTACCGCCCTTTTACAACATTTACAGTTGGTGGATTTGAAGGGACGGATACGCTTGCGCTACTTGTATTGCCCACAGGGTCCTCACGGTCCTGAGCTCATTGGGTTAAAACTTAAAACAAAACGGTTGATATCCAAGCCTATGCTGCTAGACATGAAGAGACAAAAACAATGTCTTAACAGTGAAACGATTGAGATCCGCACCCTACAATTATCTCCCCACGCTATACGGGTGGATTTTCTACGAAGTATACTTGATATTTTGGACCTGCAATTATTGTGAAAAGAAATAATGTAGCATCTGGAGGCTTGGTCCAAAAGGGGGTTATTGAGTGGCAAAGTCTTCGCAATGCTACTTTTACTGAAACGTTTATCATATTGCAACCAAACTTACAATGAAACATATTTTATATAAGTGTACCGCATGTTGTTTCAGAAAAAGAATGTTGTCCTAATAGGTGAACCCAGGGAAATTTCGCAATATAACTTTCAATGATAACATCATATTGCTTAATTATGTGATGTGCTAAATATTTCGCTGGTGGTTCGAAGATTTCGGTACAAAATGCGAATATAACGAAAATAAAGCCCTGCGAAACATACCTGTTTTACAGTAAATGTCCAGGTAAGCAATGCTAGCCGTCTGGGTCTCTTGTTTTATAAACGACAGCACATTATTTACGACAGTATACCATGACATGTACTACAGCTGAGAAGAGGGTATTTAAACTCAACATCAATTTTGACAAATGCGTTAGGTAACGCAGGTGTCTAGGCGATCGGCTGCGAAGTTTGCTTAACGTAGAATTTCAGATATGCCACTAGCGCCAACTCATTCCTTATATGGAGTCTCTGTCTCCTTAAATGGAAACTGATTTCTCCTTACATTTCTTACAGGCGATGTCCTTCCTGTCACAACTGAAGGCCGAAAGGTCAGCCAAGTCGGAGACTTTGGAGGAGAGCATGCTGCATGGCGAGGTAAGTATAACATGAGACATCGGATGTATCGAATATGTTACAATCGGTTACATGTTCGTATAACTTGCTCTTTTCAATATTTGTAGACGTTTGGGTTATGTGTAAGTTATTGTTCTTTCCATCGGTAATTTGGTCCGAAGTGGACACACTATGTCTTGCACGAGTTCAAACGTCGGTACAACGAATTACGATAAAATCTGAGAATTATCAAGATACAGACGAGTGATCTGTGATGACATCACTGCATCTCCATTTTATGTTTAATATGGACCGGAAGTTAAGCATGTAATAATATATAAATATTACGTTTATTTAACGACACTTATCTTACAAGTTATTTCAGCTAATATTAATCATTTTTGCTGGCCCGGATATAAACGCAATCAGGGAATTTAAGTCTGCCACATTTTTGAATTAGAGGATATGGAAAGCATCAATCGTACTTTTTATATTTTGAAATAAAAATGAAATGAACAAGAATGTTCCAACAAGAGTGTTCAGAGATTTCAAAATATCAACGCGGCAAACCCGTAATTCGAACTCAATACCCCTGCCCACTATACGGTCGCTCACATCCTATCAGCAGCTATAGTCATTTAAGGACGGGGTCGCTCAAAGCAATTGCACTACCTGATAAATGGAATTTTTTCTTGCCTAATCCAACTAGAGTTACATCGAAACGAAATCTAGGGGAGGTAACTGTATGTATGAAAACTACAGTGGAACTCTCTAGTGTTTTGCCTGCAATGGGATAGGAATCCTTAAGGTAAAATTAATACTGTTCCAATGAATTTATCTAACCAGATACAGTACGATATTTCTCAGTTGTAAAGGCCCCCTTCTTCTTTGTCTGTAGCACAAATTTTATGCCGCCCTGACAGAGACTGCTGAACCCGATGATGACAGCGACGATGAGGGAGGCGAGGACAGTGACGATAAATCATTCTTCAAGTTAGTAAAATGGTCATCAGAAACTTTACGCCAAATCGAATAGCTCCGATGTGGGCATAAATCGACCTCATTTTAAATCCAGTTTTATAAGGAGTTAAGAATCCAGTCTTCAAATTGATTAATCTACCATTATAAGATGAATTTTAGTTTACAAAATTATGTTATTAATTAAGAAATCGAGTTTGGATTGCTGACTTTTTGTTCATTTGCATTTGTGTGTTTTTTAATTAGTTGTCCTGTAACGAGGCCTGTTATATAATTGATCACGTTACAAGTTTACAATGTAGACGCAAACTCCCCCACATTAAAATCGCACATCATCATGATAGTATGTTACATCTTTGAGTCATCCTTAAATTATCTTCATCATGATGACCTGATGTTTACTGATAACGTAAATGAATAATTTGAAACAAACTGCAGAAAGTCACAGAGGTTTCATTATAACTATGTATTATTTTGTATTTAATGTTTGGGCCAGATAATAAATTGTTCTTTCGATGTGTAGACTGAAAACCGAAGTGCACTTTATAATTATAAACCGCGAAGTTCAGTTTTTGGTCTATGCATCAATCAAATGTTTTAAATACCCCGCGCGCGTGCTGCAGGTATGAATTCCTACTCCCAGTGATTCTGGTTGAGCCAAAGCGTTCAAACGTACTTATCAAATAATGACGTTAATTAGGTCATGTACAGATTTCCATGTCATCTGTTCAGAAATAGAGTATGATGCTCGAGGTTCAAATGTCAAAAGACGTTGTTGCAGACGATTATTCAAGTATGAGAAATAACTACGTTTTTGGGAGAAAATTAGCACTTAGTGTATGACGTTATCAAAATATGTTTTCATTCGATTATTTGATAAACTGTTAACACAAACCAATGAAAAATCGTGTTTCCAACAATATTAGATAATCAATGTCTAGTTAAACGTATCTGATTAGGTAACACAGTTCGTGTCACATACACAAAAGTCCTGTAACCAGTTCCTGTGTTAAAAACTGATTTTTTTTTTAATTGAATAAAACAACTTAGGTTAGTTGGCTTCGTATAATCCTTAAGCTATATACTTTAGGCCCTTTAAGAAGGGTATGATTAGCGCACTAAAATCAATGTCCTCATACACCTTATTTATGAAATTAAGTAGCTATTGTATTAACACATAACATGTATTGTCTGTCTATACATCGGTGTTCTTGTTGCAGGGTTTCAGATACTTCCGGAAAAGTTTCTATGACAAAACTGAAGACCGGAGACGTATCATGGAGCGACTTCAAAGCTGAGGTAAACACCCTAATTGTATAATGTGTCATAGAATATTCTTTATTGATCGTACATATAGGTATGATTTAAGGTCTGGCTTTGTTTGTAAACATGAGGTTTTTAAGTTTAGGTCTTTCTGCTTTTAGAAAAAATGAGGGTTTTGAGTTTAGGTCTTGCTCTGTTTGTTAAAATGACGGTTTTTGAAATAAGTTCTTGCTCTGTTTGTTAAATTGACGGTTTTGAGTTTAGGGTGTTGCTCTGTTTGTTAAAATAACGGTTTTGAGTTTAGTGTCTTGCTCTGTTTGTTAAAATGACGGTTTTGAGTTAAGGATCTTGCTCTGTTTGTTAAAATGACGGTTTTGAGTTTAGGGTCTTGCTCTGTTTGTTAAAATGACGGTTTTGAAATGAGTTCTTGCTCTGTTTGTTATATTGACGGTTTTGAGTTTAGGGTCGTGCTCTGTTTGTTAAAATGACGGTTTTGAGTTTAGGGTCTTGCTCTGTTTGTTGGAATGCCGGTTTTGAGTTAAGGGTCTTGCTCTGTTTGTTAAATTGACGGTTTTGAGTTTAGGGTCGTGCTCTGTTTGTTAAAATGACGGTTTTGAGTTTAGGGTCTTGCTCTGTTTGTTAAAATGACGGTTTTGAGTTTAGGGTCTTGCTCTGTTTGTTAAAATGACGGTTTGAAATAAGTTCTCGCTCTGTTTGTTAAATTGACGGTTTTGAGTTTAGGGTCTTGCTCTGTTTGTTAAAATGACGGTTTTGAGTTTAGTGCCTTGCTCTGTTTGTTAAAATGACGGTTTTGAGTTTAGGGTCTTGCTCTGTTTGTTAAAATGACGGTTTTGAGTTTAGGGTCTTGCTCTGTTTGTTAAAATGACGGTTTTGAGTTTAGGGTCTTGCTCTGTTTGTTAAAATGACGGTTTTGAGTTTAGGGTCTTGCTCTGTTTGTTAAAATGACGGTTTTGAGTTTAGGGTCTTGCTCTGTTTGTTAAAATGACGGTTTTGAGTTTAGGGTCTTGCTCTGTTTGTTAAAATGACGGTTTTGAGTTTAGGGTCTTGCTCTGTTTGTTAAAATGACGGTTTTGAGTTTAGGGTCTTGCTCTGTTTGTTAAAATGACGGTTTTGAGTTTAGGGTCTTGCTCTGTTTGTTAAAATGACGGTTTTGAGTTTAGGGTCTTGCTCTGTTTGTTAAAATGACGGTTTTGAGTTTAGGGTCTTGCTCTGTTTGTTAAAATGACGGTTTTGAGTTTAGGGTCTTGCTCTGTTTGTTAAAATGACGGTTTTGAGTTTAGGGTCTTGCTCTGTTTGTTAAAATGACGGTTTTGAGTTTAGGGTCTTGCTCTGTTTGTTAAAATGACGGTTTTGAGTTTAGGGTCTTGCTCTGTTTGTTAAAATGACGGTTTTGAGTTTAGGGTCTTGCTCTGTTTGTTAAAATGACGGTTTTGAGTTTAGGGTCTTGCTCTGTTTGTTAAAATGACGGTTTTGAGTTTAGGGTCTTGCTCTGTTTGTTAAAATGACGGTTTTGAGTTTAGGGTCTTGCTCTGTTTGTTAAAATGACGGTTTTGAGTTTAGGGTCTTGCTCTGTTTGTTAAAATGACGGTTTTGAGTTTAGAGTCTTGCTCTATTTATTAAAATGACGGTTTGAAATAAGTTCTCGCTCTGTTTGTTAAATTGATGGTTTTGAGTTTAGGGTCTTGCTCTGTTTGTAAAAATGACGGTTTTGAGTTTAGTGCCTTGTTCTGTTTGTTCTTGCTGTGTTTGTTAAAATAACGGTTTTGAGTTTAGGGTCTTGTTCGGTTTGTTAAAATGACGGTTTTGAGTTTAGGGTCTTACTCTGTTTGTTAAAATGACGGTTTTGAGTTTGGTGTCTTGCTCTGTTTGTTAAAAGGACGGTTTTGAGTTTAGGGTCTTGCTCTGTTTGTTAACGTCACGTTGTTGACCTGAAGACTCTTAATCTGTTTAGTAAGAACAAGGACTTCTGAAATTAGTTTTTCTTGACAGGAAGTGGCTCATTACGTAACATTGTATTTTGCTTACATTACGTGTTATGTTACAAAAATGCCCCATGTTTGTTTTAATAGGATGTGTTCTTGCTTCACCACGGAAGTCTGGGCGTGTTTGTATGGGTGGGTAAAGGAGCTTCGGACGCCGAAAAGAAGAACGGCATGCCATATGCTCACGTACGTATCAAAGAGTTAATAATCGTATATATGTTTTCTTTAAGGCTTTGGGGGGTTTATGCTTAAAAACGAGAAATATCAACGTTATTTCATATATTATGTTTGTACAGATTGATATATCGCAACCAGTGAAATGTCATAAATATGGGACGCTTCCTATGACTTATAAATGAATAATATAAAAATTTAAAAAAATGTTTTATGATCGTGGCAGTACAAATCGTACTAGTCATCAAAACGTCAGACATAAACATTTCACTGGATGTGTTATATGAACACGTTTTATTTAATCTGCATGTATATTTACAAACCTTACGAAAATATATTGAGTCGTTTTAGGATAAGGATTTGTAAAATTATGATTATTTTTCACCTGATGCATATATTTTGCCAAATCGATTCTCCAACAGGTCTGCATATATATGTGTATTTTACTCTATAAACGACTCGGAGAATAAATAATGTCTTTCTCTGTCTCGTTTCCACTTGAAACTAGTCAAACCGTTCACCCATTCCTATAATGTCGTGTTAGAAAATATACTGTTCTTTATTTTGTTTTTGTTTTTGGATAAGCGTGTAAAACCTTACATTTAATAAATATTTCCTGCTGTTTCCAGAACTATTTGCAGAAGCAAAAGAAGTGCTACCTTCCGATCACCGTCATTCGCCAAGGACAAGATTCGGCTGACTTGACACTCGCCATGAGTGCTTAAGAGTTCTAATGACATTGATCAACAATATGTTGTTAATCATGCATCAAGACGCTTTTTTCGTCAGTTGTAAACAAATAGTTTAGTTGCTTGGATTCATATTGTGCTTCCGTTAATGGTAGATTGTGGCCCCTGACCCTATACCACTAATAGCCGAAGGATATTTTCCGACCGACTACATGACGTCAGACAGGATGGTCACATGATAACGGATCTTTATCTAAAAGTAGTTATTCATACCCGAACACCGTTTGGAGTTTTAGTATGGAGTAACGGTGGTATTGAAACCTAAATGTATTTATTGCACTTTTATTTATTTTAACTTATCTTTTTACTCATTTCCCTGTGTTAGGAAACTCCAAAAACACAATGTTGAAATGAAGGAAGTTTAACATCATAACGTAAATTTCCGGATCTTCAGAAATTGACCTGGTGTCAATTTCTTCACCTTTTACTGGGTTCCTGTGTTACCAATGTATTTTCACAAGTTACATGTCCTCCGCATTTTTTATTTAGTGTGCTGTCTCTATATTTTTTTCTGTTGACCAATACCAGTGTTTGATAGTGTATTGCGGAAGTTGAAGTTTGAAGTTGCTATTGTGAGAGTTTCACATTCCAACGCAAATCTTAAGTCAAAAGTTAAACAAAATTAAAAAACCATAAACACTGTGTATCACTGTTTTATTCTGCGGTATACTTTTATAATAATTGGTGAGTGGAGCGAAAATTAGCAAATTTTAATACCTCGCTAAAATGTTCGTTTGGAGAATTTGAATTATATCTCATAATAAGTCGTTTGAAAATGTATCGGGAAAATAATCATTAACGAATGTTGACCAAATTATCGTTACACACTGTAACGCATCAATAAATTCTTTTGTTTCCCTATTCTGTTTGGAATGTCGATGATGTACAGGTGCTATAAAGCTGAACGTTTTTGAAATTGATTTTGCAGTCTACGATGATGTTTTGGGACCCTATTTCTTTTTTCGTTTTTATTTATGTTTTGTTGAAATCACTTGTTAATATTACTATATTCGTATCTTTAATGTCAATTTCAAAATTAAAATATATGATATTGTGATTTACTTATTTCGTTATTTTATGTTTATGAATTTTATGAAGCATTATTTGCCATCAGGTGACATGATCTTAAGTCTGTTTTCATTATTTCCCACTAAGTGATAGCGTCCTGACCGTTTGTTTTCTTTATTTGCCGCCAAATGACAGGATCTGACGTCTGCTTTCATTATTTACCATCAGGTGAGAGAATCCTGGCCCTCTGTTTCTTTATTTGCCGCCAAGTGACAGAATCTGACGTCTGTTTTCATTTATTTAACACCAAATCAGACGTCTGCTTTCATTATTTACCATCACATGACAGAATCTTGGCCGCCTGTTGATTTTTTTACCATCTTGTGACTAGTCTCGTTCATCCAGCCTCATGTTGCCTGCGCAAGCTACACCAAACAGGGAGTCTGGTCAAACCCAGTGAAGTCATAACGAGGCTTACCAGATTTCTGGTAAATGATTTCATTGGTCAAAGGTAGACACACCCTTTTCAACTTTTGAAGTCAGAATTTGAGTGGCGCAAAATTACATTAAATATTTTAATTCACGAAAATACCTTACCTGTACATGCATTCCTGAATTATCCTTGTATTCACTATTATCAAGGAAAATGTAAAAAATGTGTCAAATCTCCAGAATAATGCCATATATTTCCTCTGAATAAATCATAACTGAGCACAAACCCAACAAGGCTGACTGAGGTTGTAAAAAAAGCATGCAAAGCAAGTGAGATTTTACCTGTGCACCATTTGAGACACTACAGGGTTCTGGCTCAGGTAATCTGGCTTGACTTGTATCCACCGCCTTGTTAGCTTCATGAATTATTGTAAAATATCCAATGAAGATTCATGAAATCATTCTTGAGATTTGAAGCATTTTCTTATATTTTTCTCGATAGTAGTGAAAACACGGATACTTCAAGTGTTTTCATTATTTACCACTAAATGACATAATCTAACGTTTGTCTCATTAGTAACGACACAGTGACATACTTTGACGTTTGTTATTTGTTATTTACCAACGGCTGTGTTCATTGTTTACTATCAAGTTACAAAGTTCAGATACGTTATAAAGAGGAAAGTCAGCTTACCATCTTGTTGACGAGATTTGTAAAAACGACTTGTAAATATTACCCGGATTCGACACGTTTTGACATACACCAACTCATTTTGTCGATGTGACATGTTTCTGAAGACGAGATAGAGAAATAAGGAATCGCAAAATCTAACAAAGTCAATGGTACATTGAGGTAACTATTGGATCCTTCGTAATTTGCGGGTTTCAGAAAAATAAATATGTCAGCTTCTGGTAAGCCGTATACCGAAGGTAAAGAGACTGATTAGGCGCTGATTGTCAACAATCGTGTTCACAATGAAAAGAACACGTGTCTTAAAGAACTACCATGAACTTTAAACAACACAGACAATAGTACACTTACCCCGGTTGATATAAATCTACCACATCACATGAAGATAACCAGGCATACCATAGTGAAGGCGGGATTCACAATCACAAAAGCAAGTTTGCCAAGGTTTTACAAAGCCTAGTTAGCTTCCGGAAACCATAACGAGAAGTTTTCATCTAAAATATTTAAGATAATTCGAAGGAATCCTCAAATGAATATCAGTGGATTCGTTGTCGGTGGTTCTCGAAATCTTTTTTTATAGTCGATGAACATATAAGCTCACCTATTAGACTACTTACCTCATTAAATGTCGACAAATTCATATAAAGCTAATTTACTGTTTGATACTTTTTTTTGTATATTTAGTTTCGACAAGACATCAAACCACTTAAGTGTTGACATAGACAACAAACCCATTTTAGTGTTGAAAGACATCAAACCTAATTTAAAGTTGAGTGACATCAAAGTCATTATTGTTGACAGACATCAAAGCTAATTTAGTGTTAACAGACATCAAAGCTAATTTAGTGTCGGCAGACATCAAAGCTAATTTAGTGTTGACTGACATCAAAGCTAATTTAGTGTTGACTTACATCAAAGTTATCATTGTTGACAGACATCAAAGCTAATTTAGTTTAGACAGACATCAAAGCTAATTTAGTGTAGACAGACATCAAAGCTAATTTAGTGTAGACAGACATCAAACCTAATTAAAAGTTGAGTGACATCAAAGTCATTATTGTTGACACACATCAAAGCTTATTTAGTGTCGGTAGACATCAAAGCTAATTCAGTGTCGGCAGACATCAAAGCTAATTTAGTGTAGACAGACATCAAACCTAATTAAAAGTTGAGTGACATCAAAGTCATTATTGTTGACAGACATCAAAGCTTATTTAGTGTCGGTAGACATCAAAGCTAATTCAGTGTCGGCAGACATCAAAGCTAATTTAGTGTTGACTGACATCAAAGCTAATTTGGTGTTGACTGACATCAAAGTTATAATTGTTGACAGACATCAAAGCTAATTTAGTGTTGACAGACATCAAAACTAATTTAGTGTCGGCAGACATCAAAGCTTATTCAAAGTTGACTGACATCAAAGTCATTATTGTTGACAGACATCAAAGCTTATTTAGTGTCGGTAGACATCAAAGCTAATTCAGTGTCGGCAGACATCAAAGCTAATTTAGTGTTGACTGACATAAAAGCTAATTTGGTGTTGACTGACATCAAAGTTATAATTGTTGACAGACATCAAAGCTAATTTAGTGTTGACAGACATCAAAACTAATTTAGTGTCGGCAGATATCAAAGCTTATTTAAAGTTTACTGACATCCCAGTCATTATTGTTGACAGACATCAAAGCTAATTTAGTGTCGGTAGACATCAAAGCTAATTTAGTGTAGACAGACATCAAAGCTAATTAAGTGTAGACAGACATCAAAACTAATTTAGTGTCGGCAGACATCAAAGCTTATTTAAAGTTGACTGACATCAAAGTCATTATTGTTGACAGACATCAAACCTAATTTAATGTTGACTGACATCAAAGTTATTATTGTTGACAGACGTCAAAGCTAATTAAGTGTCGGCAGCCATCAAAGCTAATTTAGTGTAGACAGACATCAAAACTAATTTAGTGTCGGCAGACATCAAAGCTTATTTAAAGTTGATTGACATCAAAGTCATTATTGTTGACAGACATCAAAACTAATTTAATGATGCAAGACACCAAAGCTAACTAAGTTTTGACAGACGTCTGTCAAAACTAAGTAACGTTGATGTCTGTCAACACTTTCAATAATGTTTGATGTATTTAAATACTTAAGTAGCTTTGATGTGACTTATTTTGTGTCGACAGACATCAAGGCTTATTTAGTGTCGACAGCCATCAAAGATTATTTTAGCGATGAAATATATTAAAGATACGTAAGTGTTGACAGACATAAACGATTATTTAAGCGTTGAGAGAAAAAAACCAATTTAGTGTTGACAGACATCAAATTTAATTTAGTGTTGACAGACATCAAACTAATTAAATGTTGACAAACTAATTAAATGTTGACAGACATCAAACTAATTAAATGTTGACAGACATCAAAGCTAACTTTGTGTTGACAGACATCAAAGCTTACTTAGTGTTGACAGACATCAAAGCTAACTTAGTGTAAGACATCAAACTAATTAAATGTTGACAGACATCAAACTAATTGAATGTTGACAGACATCAGAGCTCATTTAGTGTTGACAGACATCAGAGCTCATTTAGTGTTGACAGACATCAGAGCTCATTTAGTGTTGACAGACATCAGAGCTCATTTAGTATTGACAGACATCAAAGCTAACTTATTGCTAACAGACAATAGAGCTCATTTATTGTTGACAGACATCAGAGCTCATTTGGTGTTGACAGACATCAAAGCTAACTTAGTGTTGACAGACATCTAAATTTATTTAGTGTTGACAGACATCAAACTAATTAAATGTTGACAGACATCAAAGCTTACTTAGAGTTGACAGACATCAGAGCTCATTTAGTGTTGACAGACATCAAAGCTAACTTAGTGTTGACAGACATCAAAGCTAACTTAGTGTTGACAGACATCTAAATTAACTTAGTGTTGACAGACATAAAGCTAATTTCGTATTGGTGGTCCTGTTATTAGATTTAAACCAATGGACAACAGACTTACAATGTATGCAGGAAGTCGATCTTGTTCCGTGTTCAACTAAGCACACTTTCTGATGACTCAGGTAAAAGTTATACAGGTGAGCACGGTTACGTAAATATTTACTCTTTACAAATAACACACATGTTTATGATAGCGTTTAAGTTTCCATTTTAGGTTTATTCATGTACACTGTACATTGAAAAATGAAATTTTATATTCGTTTAGGAAAATACGATCAAAGAAAACATATTAAAAGCGATATCAATATAAAAAAATCTCTGCTTTTAACGTAAATTACCCAATCATGAAAAAGTTGTCCAAATCTTTGATGTTTGTGGTATAAGTGAACAGAAAACTGCGTGTGAAAAACCATATGTCACCTATTCAATAATTCCGATGTACACATTCACATGATCAGTGCAGAGTGCATTGCCTAGCAACACGAATCCATATACCAGAATTGCCCGTATGTATATCTTTTCAGACTGACTGATATATACACCATATAAGGAAATTGAAGACGGGGGCGGAAGTGGTCATACACATATAACCACCAAACCGTGACTATCTGTCGGAACAACAACTTGCACACACTTCGGATCAGGTAAGACGTGCCCCTTCTGTATGATATAGAAATTACTGTAAATTTTATGTAGTTTTGTATATATTTGTATATATACTATAATGCTTTTTTGTATATGTAACCTGGCTTGCTATGACAATCACACAGGTACGAACATTTTTACCTTACATGATGCTCTCCACCGGTAGAGAAAAGAGGCTACGCCCATTTACGTGGAGTATGATATCCACTGAGTACAGCAAAGTACGGCAATACACAGACAGGTGTGGATAAGTCTTGCAAAAATCGATATGCTAACTCCGATATCTTGTATAAAACTGCACTGACAGCATTAGTCGAAATATAAGAGAACACCTAACAGAGTTTACATTGTGTGCTAACTGCTTATTATGCTAAGCCTCAAAATGGGATTTTTTTCTCGAGTCTGGTTAGAAACAGATAACATACAATTACATTGAGTGACTTTTTAATACATAACTGGGTCAGGTATTTTGTACACATTCCTAGGCAGTGACCCGTACGGTATGTAAGCAATGCCAGACAAGGTCCGTCTACACTCATATGGAGTATTACACTGAATCATTCATGTGTTTATCTAGATATGGGGTTCTATACCACAGGGAAAGTTCCCATTCTCCCTCTGTGGTATTACATTTAGCACCAACGACTCAAGTTCGCGACTGATACACAGTAAACTGCTGATGAGGGAGAAAGATTTTAGTGAAACAGCTCGCTGTTCCGTTTCGATAACAATTTTCCTTCTTCCCTCTATATTTTCGATGGCCTTCTAAATCCTGTTCTTAACCACACATATTTTTTTGGGGGCGTCACACACGTTCTTTTTGTAACGACACACCTTCGTTATAATACATACATAGCTCAACCAAAACACACGATCTACGAGTCATACGTGTACGTACACCCCTCCCAATCCCTCCCACACATTACACATGTGTAAGTAAGTGTGGTGATAAGACTACGCCCTCAAAGATACAAACGACAGCTATACCATTACTGAATATATTCCGCCACGCTCAGGTACGTATTACACCTTCACACAACCAGGTTATTTAATCAAGAAGTTAAGCTGTGTATATATACATCTATATATGTATAATAAATCTGTATCTTTAATGCAACTTTTGAGTGAGCGATATCAAAGCTGAAAAAGATATCACCGTCAGCATATAAAGATATGTTTTAATCATACAAGACACATTTCGTCTTATTGACCTTTATTTGGTCATATTTTCGGTGTTTTATTAACTTCCTCAAATTCTATTACCCATTTGCATTCTACATTGTGTAAGAGGAGACAGGATATGATTCACTTCATATCAATATTTCAATATTTGCTCGGGCTCGTGACAAGAAAGTTTGATATGAAATAGTAACACAGTGAGTCATAGATGACAGTTGCTGGCAGACTAGAAATTGAACATATGATCGACACGTAAGATATAGCTGTTGTCTACCTGGGTTTGTAGTGTATTTATTGTGTGTCAGACAGGTAAACCTGTTACGTTGATCATCTATTTTTACTGTACCAGAGAGGTAAACAGTTATTGTGATAGTGTACAATACAATGCAGCTGTCTCGAATAAACCGTCTCGCGTGGAGGGTTGCCGATGTCGGGTTCACCAATAACAGCTTTATAATATATTCAGTAGTAGATACAGCCCTCGTGCCACTTCTCTTTATAGCAAAATCTTTATTACATCCAGACTTTTTAGTATTCTCCTGCAGACCTGTATGTACAAATCTGTCATTACTTGAGTAGAAACCATTTATTGCACTCTAAACTTGTTAGTAAAACCCCGGTATTGCGTCCTAGACCCCTATTACGTCATGTATACTGTATAAATGTATTACTGTCCTGTATATATATATATATTGCACCTAGATCATACACATTTTTCCTACAGTATTTTAATCTATATCGCATATTTTTTTCTACCCACAACCTAGACGCATTTATCATATATACCTCTTGTAACTCCAGAGGCTCCTAATCAGACCTTATAGATACTAAAAAGAAATTCCCGTTTTAACAGATTCTTTATTGCATCCTTATAATCGTCATCATCACAACCATAAGTCCCTTGTTTCATCTACAGCCCCTTACACTTAGGTCTCGAAACCCTTTCAATGCTAGCTATATATAGACACTAAATGTACAGTAGCCCACTATACTGAAACTAGTCCAGCTGGGCTAGCGGTGGTAATAATTGCCAGTCCGATTGACTAGAACAATATTTGCGGAATTTGCACATGGAGGAGTAAACTTGTAAGTAAACTACCAGTTACTAGTGGTTTTTAAAATCAAATCCCTTACCATTTGCTTGCGTTTACACTTTCGGAACCTTATTCTCCTTGTACTTCTTCATTGGTCTCCATGTCAATCTTTTCTTTGTTTATATTTTGCCCTAGTTTTATCGATTTTTAGTTTGAATTATGGTTGTGTTGACGCTTCGGTATTCTCTTCTTTTGTTTTGTTTTGTTTTCTTGCACCTTATAACCTATCATTGTGTCCCTGAATCTACGGACACTGTACCACCAGGATCTGTATCATGTCTACACTAATTTTATCACACTACACCTATTATACCTTACGCTGATACTAATTATTCTGACTGAATCCTAGTAACTCTGTGTACTGTTATCCACACATTGTAGGTTTACACTATAAGCTGACTAATTGTTATGTCGACACTGCTATATAGTACCAGGTAATTCACCGGAGATATTAATATCGTTTTCTGTCTAGGGACGCAGTCATCTGTCTTACTCGTAGCTTGTCAATGTTATATCAATCTGGCAAATCTCTGTTCTCTCTCAGTATGCAAGACAAGGGAGAGTGTGTAGACGTTAATCTTGCATACTGATTGTTCACGTCTATACCAGTGTAAGTCGACAAACTGGTTTGCATTATAAAAACGACACGTTTTGTATTACCTTCTATTGATGAATTTCCCTCACGGATATTAACGCATAATTTGATTACGTAATGAAAATCATTGGCTGTTGCTGTACACCAGACTGTAAAAGATATTAAAATGTTTTATTTCGCTGCTTGTATTAGGATCAAGGTCGTTTCGCTCTGTATAGTATCTGATTCATAAGCATGTGTTTCAGTCTGTTGGCCCTTCTGCTCTGATGAAGTGTCGTGTTCAGTATTCCTTATACTCTAATCCGTCGCCCGTCGAGGTATATTCCTTCCTTATCCACCTGCACAATGATTACCAAGTCCGTGATACGGCTGTTAAATAGTTGTCCTGGTCTATGACATAGTACGTGTCATATTGTCTTCCCCATCCGTCAGCACAGCGCTGTCATAGCTTCTCTCTCGCAGGCTGTGACAGGTAACCGTCCCTATAAACCAGCCTAGAGTTGTCCTAGTCTATCACGTGGTCTGTGACAGGTAATCACCCCTATCTACCAGCCTAGAGTTGTCCTTGCCTATCACGTGGTCTGTGACAGGTAACCACCCCTATCTACCAGCCTAAAGTTGTCCTAGTCTATCACATGGTCTGTGACAGGTAATCACACCTATCTACCAGTCTAGAGTTGTCCCGTTGCGTTCGGTTCTCTTCATTGGAAATAATGAACTTAACTGTAATGTTTTTATACATAATGTCTATTTGCAATCACGCATGGGAAGTATTTCCTTTTTTGGTGTAGGGGTGCAAAGGCCTATTTGGATTGCATTGCTGTCGCTCTTCTGTCATTATGTTTATGAAGGAAATGATGACATAGGTGACCATTCGATCTTCACTATTGTTGTTTTCCGTTGTTTATAACTCCCTGGATCTCGTCATCCCCTCATGTATCTGTCGTGTCGCGGGACAACTTAACTGGTATGGGTTAAATAATGTTCGGATGACGTCCTACATCTGATCTATAAACAGCTGTTAGAAATGCTTCCATCAATAATCAATCAATTCAGCCTGCCCTTAACATAGAGACACACCTTTCATCTAAGGTAATGATTATTGCTTCTTTATCGTTAGTAGTTAAATTGGATGCTTCTAATAAATACCAGAAGAACATATTTAAAAGCCTTTAAGATCAATATCCATTCTTTATACAATTTACCATACTTTCTGATAGAGTCTATCTGTTTCCTTATTCCTGATACGTGCCCTTATTTTGCAGATCTTGTTCCGTTTGAATGATTATACAGAGCACTAATTTCCATTTCAACGAGGATTAAAAATATAAGCAGCTTGTTTAAAATTGTCCATGGACATTTTTAGGTCACCCGAGTCAAAGTCTCAAGTGACGTTTTGCGATCCCCTTTTGTCCGGCGTCGTGCGTCCGTAAACAATTTACATTTTTGACTTCTTCTCCAAAACCCCTGAACCAATTTCATTGAAGTTTTGCAGAAACCTTCCATAGCCAAAGGTCAACCAAAATTGTGAATAATATGGTCCCCCAGCCCCCAGGGACCTGAGGGGCGGGGCCAAAAAGGGTCAAATTGACTAAAATTTCAAAAATCTTCTTCTCAAGATCCAGATATGGTAGAATCAAATACTCTTCATAGATCGAAGGGTCTTAAGGTGCTTTACCAAATTTGTGAATTTCATGACCCTGGGGTCTCACGTTTCCCCCTGAGGAGGGGGTAAACTTTATCATAGTTTACATTTGTATATATAGGGAAATCCCAGTTTGGACCAACATTTGTTTAATTTCCATTGGAAGTAATTCAATTTGGGATAGAATTATCAGTATTGGGAAGCAGTTTCATGGTATGCACATATCAGCCCTGACTGACCCCCAGGGGCTGATGGGTGGGGCCAAAAAGGGTCGAATCGACTGATATTTCAAACTCTTCTTCTCAAGACCCAGATATGGTAAAATAAAATACTCTTCATAGATGGAAAGGTTTAAGGGTGCTTTACCAAAATTGTGAATTTTATGACCCTAGGGTCTTACGTTTACTCCTGGGGAAGGGGGGGGGGATTCATTATGGTTTATATTGCGAATGCTACTTTGGATATTACATGTTGATAACTTGATTGGAATTATAACCCTGAGTTGACAGTTTGATACTTTGAACATTTTGAGCCAGCCCTATCTCTAAGGGCTGTAGGGCTGTAGGGCTGTAGGCCTAAAGGAGTCAGTGTGCTAAAATTTCACCATTTTCCTTATTTAGAATCAGAGGCGCTAGTTCAAATACTTTTCAGTCTTAAATCTGTATGCGAGATATTGAATAAGGTAGTTTTATTGTTTTTTTTGTCACTTTGAATAATATTTCTGTTCATGTTTTAAAAACAAAAAACAACTCTTTGTATAAATATATCAGAAATCAGGTGACCGTTGAGGCCCATGGACCTCTTGTTAAACAAACTGGCGGAATAATTATTTTTGTCAAAGATTGATTTTGTTGTTGAAGTGAAGTTAGTGACCCAAACATTGTAGTATATCATAGTATATGAAAGTGGAAAGTGACTAAACCTGGCGTCACGAAGAAATGTCCGTCTCATCACTCACGTGTTATCAGTTTGATGTCAGGATGTTAAAGAGGTTGTGGGCGCGGTTATCGGTCTAAGGGAGGTAACTCTCCCCAACATGTATTGAGGTTGGTTTGGTGTACTTGTTTATTAACTGCACTATATATATATATTGATACATTTTACTAGTTACGGTTTGATGTGTATGGCGATGTGTAAATTCATTAGAAATGTGATCAGTCAACCGTAACTTTACCCAGGTTGACCAAGTACAATGTAACTGCCATATGATGCAATGAAAATATGGCGACATCCTGAATTGGAATTCAAACGGGTAATAAAACACTGTGCTCTCAGAGATAGCAGTTAATAACAAGACCAATGGGATCTTACAGAAGGAACTGAAGACGCTATCTTCCCTAACATCGAAAGAATGTCAAAATGCATCCAGGGCGCATATCGCAACCATGCCTTAGCAATAGAACCACATTAGGCTCCAAAGGATAAACCAAGAAAAACAGCCAATGAGTGAGCGTGTCTGCATCTACACAAAGGATAGAGCATCATCGCAGTGTATGGGAGGCTGACATAGCATTTTGGGTTCACATGCAAAAACATCGCAAAGATACGGAAAGTCAGACAGTCGGAAATCCTAATGAACAAATCAGTTATCACAGATCAGATCACTCAGAACCAAAAGAAGTAGAGAAGGAAATCTGACAAGAGAATTCATGCGGAATGCACCGTAGAAGCCGGAGTCTGAAAAGCGACAAAGAGGTCGACTTAACACAGATTATCGCACGTCTGCGATCAGCTGTTAAGCACAATGATAAATCTCAGCATCTTTAACACGAATTCAAGAAGTAGCATCGTGGTACAAGTTAGATATGTCATTGCTTCGTTACAGTGTTCTAAGCATTCTGAGTAATTGTACAACCTTAAAATAGATATTAACCCATTCACCCCTAAAGTCACATTGAAACATACCAAATCAATGGCTGGGCAAGTCCAGTTTAGATATGTAGGGGTGAATGCGTTTTAACATAGACAAGGTCATCATTCTCAGTATACTTGTTCGGCATCATCACTGTGCCGTCATTTTACAACAAATACCTGGATACCAGTAATCTCATGTCGTTGTTTGTTTAATTTCAGAATCTCAGACAACGTCAACATGTCAGGTATGTTCTTAAGAGTTATTACATCTAAACATTAACAAACTAAATGTTAATAAAACAAAACTGAATAGTCACCAGCGAAACTTTATACTATATTAGTGTACCTTGCTGAAACGATACTATTTCAGCACAAATTGGTTTTAAATAATGTGAACGGAATAAAGTATTATATAATAAGGCATGCGTATTGTATGTATTTATCACATATTTAAACCAATATCATTTTGATTAAACTCATTGTCATTTCACAAATTCAAGGTTCTGACTTTTTTTTAATGTAATTGTTTTTACGCTACCGATATTTGTAACAGGAAAGAGAGCAGTATGCTTTCACCGAGGATCGAACCCTCGATCTATGACTTCCTAGTACATATTTATTATATATTCCAGGATTAGTTAAAGCCAAGACCTATGACTGGAAGGACTCCAACATGGCCCTGTTCGGTTCCGACACCGACAAGCAAGTCAAAAGTGAGTCCTACTTGAACGCTCCACGTTTGTCCATGTTACAATGGTCATTTTACGAACTAAATGTTTTATCTCATAGTGTATTTATCACAAAATAAAAAATATAACATAGCACCTTCAATGACCGTTTTGCTTGATAAACAGAACCATGTACTCGATCTTAAATCCAAATGTCCATGCTTTTTGTAATATGGCTATTTTCAAAGACACTTTTATTCTACCTTTGTAACTTTAACAGAAAAATACAGTTACAAGTACTTATTTTAGCCGACTCTAGTTGTAGTGTATTACAATGAAAAGATTAGCGCTTTGATGATTTGGCCCATTTTCAAAATATGTGTAAGAACACTTCTCACAGGAACATCAACTAACGCAGTCATAATTTAGCGCAAAGTTAAAAGCACAAAAAGCGCTCAAATTAGAATACCGTTAAAATGTTTCCAGTAAATCAGTATTCATTACTTTTTTTGTTTTTTTTTTTGTTTTGTTTTGCATTGATAATTTATTATAAGGTTAAGATCCTGTTGCATCGTATTCCATTTACTAATAAAACGACAGATCAAATTTTAGCATTCTATATTTTGAATCGAAAGACAAAAAGATAATTTATCAGGCATTATTCAATTGTTTTAACGACCGTAAATGATTTTGAGTTCAATAAACAGTCACATGAAACAATTCCTAGCACTCTCGATTCGTTATTACAGAGGAGTCGGCAGAAACCGAACCTGCGTGGGAGGGCGCAGGACAGGCAGTTGGTCTCAAGGTGTGGAGAATCAAGGTCAGTAGTAACCTTAAAAGCAAAAGCTGTTATGGTGAGACCAACGAGTGATATTGTATGACGTTTTATGCATCATTTGAATCGGTTCTATATTGGTCAAAGATATGTTTAACAGCTACATACATATGTAAGCAACTTTTGATATAAACATGTCATTTACTTGTTCGTTTGTTGTTTATTTATTTTAACGCTTATTGTAAACATTATCAGAAAAAAATAGCTTACATTTTCAGAATGTCCCTGCTACAGGTGTACGGAATGTGAGTCCCGTGACGATAGTTTGTTGTGAACACATATTACAATCATTGCATTTGCAGTATTTTCCTGATATTTTAACAGCATGTGCAGAAAAAAAATGTATTAAACTAGAACGAAACCTGATCTGAAATGTTAATCCAATAGAGGATGAATACGGTTTCATTGCGTAATTTACCCCCATTTTAAGCTCTGACATGCTTCGTCGGAAAATATATATCACGTTTCGTAAGCACAGATTATTGCATGTTTGTGTTCACTGCTGCAGAGTACAGTGTTAATATAATCGATGATATGATATATGGTACATCGTATCAGAAAGTGTACACGTGCGTTTTCTTTCTTAACAGGGACCAAAAACCGTTTAGATTATACATTCTTAATTTGATTTTCAAAATGGCAATCACTGTTCGTATACTTACTTATATTTACTACGGTTAACATTGGTTTTATTTGTTTACGGAAAAAATGTGTTGTATGTATAACAACAAATACGTTTGCCAATAAATTTTGTTTTTAACAATGATTATCAGTATTCCACATCCGATTCCTAATGACGGCCAATTAACTATGCCATTTAATTCTATTTTCAAGGCGTTCGAAGTAGAGTCTGTACCTGAAGAGGAGTACGGGGAATTCTACAAAGGAGATTCTTACATCATCCTCAACGTAAGTAATGCTAATGTAATAAGGTTATGAAAAAGAACATATGTATATAAACTATGTATATAAACAAAGTTCCTCTGGTGAATATTCCTTAACATTACATTGATTCATGTGTTAGGGGACATCTCTTCCTCTACCTCAACTTTGCCTTGTCCCTCTACTGCAACTTTGCCTTGTCCCTTTACTGCAACTTTGCCTTGTCCCTCTACTACAACTTTGCCTTGTCCCTCTACTGCAACTTTGCCTTGTCCCTCTACTACAACTTTGCCTTGTCCCTCTACTGCAACTTTGCCTTGTCCCTCTTCTGCAACTTTGCCTTGTCCCTCTACTGCAACTTTGCCTTGTCCTTCTACTGCAACTTTGCCTTTCAGTTGTTCATAGAACGAGATGGTATAGTAAATATCTATTCACTTTCTTTTTTGATTGCACTCGTATGTCTTAGTAACAGGTTGTTGAAATCGTATACGTCAGTAAGTTCTATGACCGATGTTGATTTTTGGGAATTAATAGTGTAATCCTTGGAGCCATATTCTCATGATGTCATGCCTGTCAACAAGGCTTGGCGCCATTTTGAATTTGATACTCAACGCAATCCTATCGTTTTCGACTGTTATTTGGTTAGATTCGGTTCGATACATTTGACAATTAGTGTAAGATAACCATTTAGCGTAGAAAGCAAAAGTATACCAAATCAACCACATATTCTACCGTCGTTTCTTTTGTATCTGAACAGAGAAAATGATCATTAGTGTAAGATAATAACATAACGTTTGAAGCAATGGTTTACCAAAACAACCACATATTCTACAATAGTTTCCTCTGTATCTGAACAGAAAATCTGCAGCTTTGAATGAAGTAAGCAGAAAGGACCGTACTGATTGGTAAATACCAAAAGTGGTATTTTCAATATATCAGTTTTATCGAGTTGATATAATTCGATGTGGTACTAGCTTAAATGAAATAAATAACATTCTGTTTTTTTAGACTTACCAAAAACCCGATTCCGATGCTTTGTTGTACGATGTCCATTTCTGGATCGGAGAGAGCAGCTCACAAGTAAGCTATGTTTTCTTAAAACAAATTGCCCACTTATTAATTGCGTACCCAATTAAGTCTGCCATACGCAACTGGATGTTGGTAAACAAAGATTAAACACTACAGGTCAAATGAGGCAAAATATCAAAAAGTTAACAACAGATCAAGCTGAAGAAGACAAATGGTGGTTATTTTCTGGAACTGTATATACTGGTATACAGGGAGTACACTCATATCTCATTGAGTCAAGATCCGTAAGGTATTGGCAAACGTTATAATAGTTATATGAAAACAATGATAATATTTCAATGGAGAAAGTCATAATAGCTAAGTGGAGGTATAGGTAATAGTGATTGTTCGAAGGCGAAAATAATTATAGTTAAAGGGAGATAATAGCAATTATAATTCAACGGAAATTATAACATTTAAATGGAGATAATAGTTACAGTTCAAGGGCGATAATAATTGATGGAAAAATAATAATACTTCGATAGAAATAACAATTGCAGTTCAATGTCGATAAGATTTGATGGGAAAATAATAACAGTTCAATAGAATTAATCACAGTTCAAGGGCGGTAATAGTTGATGGAAAAATAATCACAGTTCGATAGAATAACAATTATTTTTCGATTAAGGAAATTATAATAGATTTATAAAGTTAAATATTAGCTGATAAAATTCGTATTGCCAATAAGGTAAAATAGAAAAGAGAAAACCCACAAAAAACTATTTTTTACAATATATATATATTTACATGAGAAAAAGACGCTACAGACAGAAAAATATCAAGAGGAACGGCATTGACATGCAAATTGCTTCGCCCTATATCCTTTGCTGTAGGTGAATATATAGTATATAGTTTTTCTCAAGATTGAGTAGTAGTTTTGTCTTTGGTTTACCAGGACGAGTACGGTACAGCGGCCTACAAAACAGTGGAACTGGATACATTACTTGACGACAAAGCCGTTCAGCACCGAGAAGTGCAGGGTTGTGAGTCCGAGACGTTCCTCTCATACTTTGATGACAAGTTTGAGTGAGTAGGAAGCTGTGACTGTACATGTATTTTGATTCCTTTAACTCTTTCAGCTTTGTGGACCATATTGGACTCGTCCAGATCAATGTATGATAGAATTCACTAAAGTTACTTAGGGTGAAATGGTTTATGAAGCTTCGGGCTTCACTGTTTCCTTGCTTCTCGTAATCCTTCCGAGTTCTCGGTGTGAGGACGTGACATTGATTTGACCTATATTTACACGGTGGGTGTCATTGATGACGCATAAGACGTCATGGATCATCGTGTCTAATTCTCTTTGTACCTTTTCAATGGTCGTCATGTCAATCTTTCATTTATTTATAGTTTTTATCTCTCTTGAGTTTGAATTGTGGTTTGTTGTCACTTCGGCATTCCCTTGTTGTTTTTAATCCTTTCACCACTGTAGACCATAATGGACTCATCCAGATCAATGCATCATAGAGTGTACTTAAGTTACATAGGGGTGAAAGGGCTAAGTAAGTTCATGAAAGTCCGGATAGATAAGAAAGATTGTATCATATTAAAAATAGGCTTCCATGGTAGTTAGAATATGGTATGAAGAAGCACTGTATTAGTTCGGCTAACATCGGCTGATTCCGGTATCTTTCAAAATAGTAGGATAAAGGTACGGAATCTACCGATGTGTGACAAGTGGCACTTTATTCTGAGCCGACTCGGTATTCTATTTGAAACGTACGGTTTTATTTATATCTAACAGTTGGGCTTGTTTGAAGTAGGAGTATTCCGTCTTTTCGCATTATCTGCCCTTGTGAGCAGATATTGATTGTTACGTCATTTGTTTGTGAGAGTAACGTCATATTTCCTTTTAGAAAACGACGCAAGTTTCTCACACAAACTAATGACGTTACAATCAATACCTGCTCAAAAGAGCAGATAACTCTGCAATACGAAAAGATGGAATACTCGTCACCGCTTTAGTACACTTAATCGCTACAGTGGAACATAAATCGAAGGCCACTCCTAACCTTGCATTAACACATAAACCTAACACTGACGGCTTCGTTAACTGTGTCTTCGAGGTCTAAGTGCAGGATAATATTTGACACGAATACTAAGTTTACTTGAACTAGTGAATGCTTTCAGGATGTTGAATGGTGGACACGCTTCCGGCTTCAGGCATGTAGATCCCGTCGAGTACCAACCACGTCTACTCTGCATCCAATACACGAACGGCAAGGCCGTTGCTAATGAGGTATGTGACGTAATAGGCATAGGTAAATTTGCTCATCTTAAAAATAAATAAGTTTAAGTTAGCTCATTAGTGACAGAACTCATTTGAAAATAGTCACACGAAGTGTCCGCATGCACGTACCAACAAATGGAAAGGATTTTACAAAACACAGTCAATGGGAAGATGTGAAACACATTTAACGATAAATAGTCAAAATAATGTGGATTGTCGGAAATCCGTCACTCAATTTTTAATTACACCAGAATTATATATACACAATTTAATAAACACCAAAAAAAAAAAGGAAAAATAATGAAAAGATAAGAACATTCATAAAAACTAATAAATTAACAAAAACAAAAACACTGAAGAACGAAAAACAGTGACAAAATACTGCAGGGGAACTGACGTATGCATATGATTTTCTTGTCCACATTATATGCAAGACGTCAGCAATTCACATACATTGATTTATTGCAGGTCCAATTCTCGAAGTGCGCCATTAACTCCGACGATGTATTCATCTTTGATAGTGGTACCCGCCTCGTTCAACTGAACGGTAGCAAATCCGCCTATCAGGAAAAAACAAAGGTGATATCAACTTAATGTAGCACTGTTAAAATGTTGGAGGCGTTCCAGCCTGAGCTCCATAACGGTAGCATACCACTTCGATAGGTGACAATCCTGTCATTTCTCTTTCAACGAACATTTTATTTACAAATGTCATTTTTTCGGTAAAATAACATTTAGAACAGTTGTGTAGGTATTACCATTAAAAAGAACAGCTATCAGATTCCTACATAAAAATAAGCCAAATCACTAACTGCATTCAAAGCGAATAAACCCCTGAACACTTTAGGTTGAATGAAATTGCCTAGCAGATGAAAATAACGTATAGCCTGGACAAATGCTGATTTCTTTTCCTCTGGTAAAATACCATAACATTTCTGCTTGTTTGTCAACGAATAATTTTAACACTGTTTCTGTTCCACTTTTCTGGTCGACTTGTTTTTCTTGCCATATGAGGCTATACTTATTAAAAATCTGATCAGGACTGGTTACAGAATCCTGGATTTAACATTACGGATATCATCAAAAGGCATAACATACTTACCCTTCCAGAACACCTGGGCTCGTCGTATTCATGAAACCATTCTCGTGCCAGAACTCAGATTCTGTGCCAAAGCCCAACATGGTGCGGCGTCTGTCGTCCGTCCGTCTATCGTCCGTCCGTCCATCGTCCGTCTGTCCATCGTCCGTCCGTCGTCGTCCGTCAACTTTTACTTTAAACGACTTCTGATATTTTGCTGAAAACTTTGTTGGTAAGAGCCCGACAAAGCTTGAGAACGAAAATGACCTTGACCTACTTTAAAGGTCACAGGGGTCGAATGTGTCAAACACCTCATGCGTCTTCTTATGAAGAACTGAAAAGTATAGAATCATAACATTTGGCTGGTGGCTTACTGAGATCGAGCCCAACAAAGTTTGAGAACGAAAATGACCTCGATCTACTTTCAAGGTCACCGGTATCCAATATGTCAAACGATTCAAACGACTTCTTTTTAAGAAATGAAAGGTATAGAATCTTCATATTTCGCTGGTAGCTTCTTGGAATTGAGCACGACATAGTTTAAGAATGAAAATGGCCTTGACCTTTGTTCAAGGTCACAGGGATCAAACACTTCAAACGACTTTTTTTCTGAAAAACTGAGAGGTATAAAATTGTAATATTTGGCTGGTGGATTCCTGGGGTAAAGCCCGACAATGTTTGACCTACTTTTAAGATCACTGGGATCAAATATATCAAACGACTTCTTCTTAAGTACTTAAAGGAATACAATCTTCATATTTGGCTGATGGCTTCCTGGGATAGAGCCTGGCATAGTTTGAGAATGAAAATGACCTTGACCGACTTTCAAGGTCACTGGGGTCAAATTTGTCAAACACTTTAAACGACTTCCGAATAATCTAAAACCATAGAATTACAATATTTGGCTGGTAGCTTTCTTGGATTTAGCCTGACAAAAACTGCCAATGAAAATAACCTGGATCTATTTTCAAGGTCACATGGGGTCAAATATGTCAAACATTTCATATGATTTCTTCTGAAGAACTGAATGGTTAACAATCTTATTATTTTGGCTGGTAGCTTCTTTGGATTGAGCACAACAAAGTTTGCGAATGAAAATGACCTTCAAGTATTTTCAATGTCACAGGAGTCACATATGTCAAAAAACATCAAACGACTTCCTCTGAATAATCGAAAAGACGTGCCAGGTTTTGGTAGTGGAGGAAAGTCGGCCAGAGAAAACCACCAAATTCGGCCAGTACCTGGCGACTGCCCCACGCAGGCATCGAACCCGCGACCCACTAGAGGGCTTGTGGTAGCTGAGTGGCATACGTCTTCACCAATTGCCACCGCGGCCCCCAATAAACAACAAATAAATATTACAAACAACTTAACGATAGCAGGATATTTTGACGTTTTAATGGGGAAAAAAACATTAAAAAGAAGAGTAATTGAGAATAAAATAACTTTGTGTAACAAACGATGTTTATATTTTAGGCTGCACAGCTGATGAGTAAGTTTTCCTCAGAACGACCGGAAGCAGACAAACTGGTAGCTGACGAAGGCGATTCTGACTATGTACGTCTATCTATTGTCTGAACAAGACGATAATATACAAATAGAACAGGGTTAATCGAAACTCGAAAAAAAAAAATCCCATATCAGTCAACAGCATCCATGATGAGAGACTGTTTCACGTATTGTACAGTCAAAACCTGGAACAATCTTCCGGAGGACGTTTTATCAGCTCCAAATATAAATACTTTTAAGAACAGAATAGATAAACTTCGGCACAATGAAGAACTTTATTACAGCTGCAGGGCAAATGTAATTAACAATGAACTTTAACTTTATAATATACACTTGTTTAATTTGTGAGTCCAGTGTAGGGGAGCTCTATCGGCTCCTGTATTGGAAACTAACATTAACATTAACTTTAATCGATTGAATAAAAATATTATAGTGTATTTCTAGTGATTATATTTAGTTAGTTGTCAGAGTTTGTATGTGTTATTCTTGTGCTGACAGAACTATTCATAACATTCATCCCCGTCATAAATATAGTTAGTGTTCATTTTTGTTTGTGCTACACTAGATATCAACATCACATTTGATTATACTCATTACCGTACCTTGTTTATTATGTTGTCACTATCCAATCCCTTTCTACGAGGACATGACATTACTTAAATTTGAACTAGATTTACATGGTCGTCGATAAAACAGAAGACTCATCTTACCCTTCCGAAACACCCGGGGACATATTCATGAAACCATTATTATGCTCAAACTCAGATTTTGTGATCAAGCCCAATCTCTTGTTCCAGTAATAGATTAATAAAAAATATACAATTTGTCCATAATTTTGAAGAACTTTGACGAGACTTAAAGCCGAATTCTGTTTCCAATGTTAACACTTGACTTTTTGATAGAGTCACATGATTACAGTGAGTAACATGAAGTTTGATAAAGCACAGAATCCTTTACTGAGCATGGATTCAGTGCTCGAACCATCTTTCTTGTAACTCGCTTAAATTAGGTCAAACGATCAAAAAGTCCTATGTAAACATTGAAAACAGTATTCAGCTTTAAGTCTCGTTAAATTTGTCCATATCATTGACAAAATAAGATGTCTTCCCCATATAACCTTTAATTTGTAATTAGAACACGAATTTAGGCTTAAACACAAAATCCATGCTTGATCATGAGAACAGTTTCATGAATATGGGTTCTGGTCTTAAACTTCATGTTCTTTTCCAAGGACTTCCATGTAACTTTGTCCTTTGTTCATATTTCGCCTTAGATCTATCGTTTTTGGGTTCGAATAACGGTTTTAGTCATAATTCGGTATTCTCTTACTGTTTTTATTCTTTCAGAGGAAGTGTGTGGATTCTCTTGGAGATGATGGTCCAGAAGAAAAAGTGTCCACAGACGATGGAGAGGTGGAAGAGCCGGTTCTCTTGAAGTCAGTATATGGATACAGATGTTTACTGAATACTTTATAACAAGTTTCTGTTCTTAATAAATTTAATACGGATGTTTGATATAACATTCAAACTTCAAGCAGACTTGGAAGCTTCAGTTGTATAAAACCTGGATAGTCAAGATCTTTTCATTTTCACTTTGTTTCTAATTATCGAATATCTAAGCATTATTAATCACGGCTGATATTCATCAGCTCAACAATATCTATTTTCGGAAATAGATTAGTGATTGTTTTGTCAATATTGAAAACTGCTTCCATACCAAGTGTCGTAGTTTTTATTTAGTTTTTAATTTCAGTGTCATACGTATGTTGCGTCGTTTAATAAAGTAGTAAATGGGAAAGACAGTGGATATCTAATATTTTAAACTAGTAGAATACTTAATAATTCTATTTGAATTAAACATTTATGAGAACTGTTCTCGTGACATATCGTTAAATAGAGTGTTATATAAAGAGAGTTGTGAAAATCATTTAGATATTTTATTAACAATGTCAAAACTTCTAAATTCAAAAAGGGATACAATTGTATCTAGAAACCTAGATACAATTGTCGTTTAATAGCCAATGTTGACAGGTACGTATATAGTTGCCTTTGCCTAATTGGCCCAATCAATGTTTTACGGTACAGTTGTCATTGTCTATTTGTCTAGCCAATTCTGTAAGGTAGACCTGTCAAACTAGTTGTCTGGTCAAAGTTGTAGTCTAATTGCCTAACCGATGTTGTAAGATTAGTTTTCATTGTGTTATTTGTCTGGCTAATGTTGTAAAGTATCGTCTAGTTGTGTAGCCGATGCTTAAGGTAAAGTTGCCATTGTTTTATTTGTTTGGCCAATGTAATAAAGTATTGTCTAGCCGATGTTATAAGGTAAAGTTTCTAGTGTCTAGTTCTGTAGTCGATGCATTAAGGTAAAAATCTCGTTATATAGTTGTGTAGCCATTATTGTAAAGTACAGTGTCAGTGTCTAGTTGTGTAGCCAAAAGTGTAAGGTACATTTGTCATGATCTAGTTGTATAGCCAATATTGTAAGGTACAGTTGTCATTGTCTAGTTGTCTAGCCAATATTGTTAAGTACATTTGTCATTATCTAGTTGTATAGCCAATATTGTAAAGTACAGTTGTCATTGTCTAGTTGTCTAGCCAATATTGTAAGGTACAGTTGTCACTATCTAGTTGTCTAGTCAATAGTGTAAAGTACAATTGTCATTGTCTAACCAATGCAGTTGTTATTGTCTAGCCACTTTTGTTTAACGATGTTTTTATAGTATTTCTGATTTAATGTGGCCTTATTATCATAAAGACGAAACTACATGTCTTTAAAAATATCAGTCGAAAATAATTTGTCGCCGTGACCTTGATCGCAAAATTCGTTTGGTAGGGTCACAGATGAAGACGGGTCAATCGGAACAGAACCGGTGAAAACTGGAGGTATCACGATGGACGATTTTTCTTCAGATGTAAGTATCTCTACACAAAATGTAAGATATAAAACACCGTAATGCACGTAGTTGCTTTCAAGTAATGTTGTGAATACCATAATATGTAAGGTTTACTTCATTCAATTAGCATCAATATTTTGCTAAGAATAATGAAACTACATCGTCCGTCTTGCCACAAAACTGTCAAACATTTAATAATTCAGGAATAAGTCAGGAAGATATAATAATAAGTTTAACAACGAAAATGGAAAAACACAAAACATGAAATAGCTCAATGAACGTTACATTTAGATATATTTAGCAAGAGTTACAAAGATTTTCAGGGGAAATAATTTCTTAAACAACATAACAAAGATTCTCGAAAACATCTTGCGTTATTTCGCAACTAAATCAGTTGGAAAATAAGATTATTTATTCATATGATCATTGTGAATACCTGTTTCACGTTTGGATTCGACGGGAGTCATAAATACTAGTCCAGAATTCAATGCACAACATGCTAAGTCTCCAAGCGCACCTGTTGTTTATGGCGTTTCTACCTTATTTCCTTTTGTCTAATGTCTTTTAATTTCATTATGTTGTATTTTCCCTATTGGCAAAAATTTGAGATGTGCAAAATACTAGTACGAAGGGTTCAAAAGCAATTAATGAACACTTAAACAAATATGTCTTCCTAAAATTGTCACTTCAAGCAAATATTTGAAGACGTAAGGGTACCACTTTGGGGACAGTCTGAAGGAGGGGATCATAGTAATAGATGAAAAGCCTAGATAAAGAAGAAACATGCAAACTGAAACAGATTAAGGTTCTTATGACGTCACACTTGACAACAAGACTGTGTGACATTTTGAATGGTCTACTAAACACAATTTTATCGTTTTCTGTAATTTCTGATTAAGCATATTAATAGGTTTTTGTATGTACCAAAGACTTACAAAAACAACCGCTTTCTCTACCGTCGCTTCATCTGCTGCCGAATAGAAAAATCTGTGGCCGTCAATACAAACTACTATTTTCATTGGTCAATATTAAATCGATAATAGACCTTATATTATCACATGTAAAGATATAACATTTCGTGTATTTATAAGTCACACTGACAGTTTCCGATATTTCACTGACACAAAATGTCATGAATGGGCAAACTGAAACAGAACGTGAAGGTACATGCTCGCTACCTTTTCCTATCGACGTTGAGCCCACTTATTAGTTCTACAATACAAAAGAAAACCTGATTTTCCGACAATGACAGTTTTCTGTCATTTTTATTACTTTTCTGAACTTAATTGGTTGAAATTTAGATATCGTCCATATTTTCTCAAATACATAAAATATGGTATGAAGGTATGTAATGACCCTACAACACAATTTAGACTTCCGTTCTCTGATTGGCCAAAATGGCCGCCGTAAACTGGCTCCAGGTAGCCAAATTCAGAAATTGTCCTATTTTGCTCAAATAGGTATGAAGACTATTTTTGCATTGTTAGATCTTTTTTCTATAGGCATCATTTGCCACTATTTTGGCGTAAGAGGACTTGTGTAACGGTCCCCGTTATAATTTAAACATAATATTATCTCATATTGCACTTCCTTTCAGAAACCACTTCTTATATCTAACAAATGGTTATATAAGGTATTCAAATAGATAAACTACTGTTCAAATAGCACACATATGCACGCACACACGTAGTATTTCAATTAGTGCATTGTGATGGTAAAAGGTGTTTAAGCAGAATAGTTTATATTTTTCACGACCACGTTCGAAGTGATATTTTTCCTACGTAAGTGTAATTTAATTAGCAATCGTCTCCATTTTAGGCCGTCTTCTTGCTGCACGTAAAAAGAGACTGCTTTGTCTGGGTTGGAAATGATGCTTCAATTGGCGAGAAGAGAAACGGAATGGCCCATGCTTCAGTGAGTTATACGTCAAACTTATCACGATGATCGATTTTAAAATTATTGATTGATCCCGATAAGATTAGTAAACCTTCACTAATTAATTCAATTGGTAGTGTTATAAAGTCAGTGATTAATCATGATACTAGTGTTTCAATGTCAGTGTTTAATCTACAATTAGTGTTAAAGTGCGGATGGGTCATCATGATAAAAGAGTTACATGTATATTGTCAATGATTAAATAAGATAATGTGTTTCAATGTCGACGAGTAATCATTAGAACAGTTTGTATATCGTCAATGATTGAATAAGATAATGTGTTTTAATGTCGATGAGTAATCATTAGAACAATGTGTATATCGTCAATGATTAAATAAGATGATGTGTTTTAATGTCGATGAGTAATCATTAGAACAGTGTTTTAAAGTCCGTGAATAATCATGACAAAGTTGTTTTAACGCCAGTGATAAATAATGATAATGTTATTATAACGTCACTGATTATTCAAGGTAAATTAATTATAGAACGTTAGCGATAAATCATAAAAAAAAAAGTTTTGACGTCACTTAATAATTATAAGTGTTATAACGCACTGATTAATACGGACACTAGTGATACAATGTCACTTGATCATAATTCTGATGTATTTTTACTGTTAAGTCATGAAAATACAGTTCAAACGTAATATTTATCACGAGAATAGTGGTGATCTAACCTATAAATAATAGAAGTAGACTATGTAGCGTAAGTGTATGATGTGTCCGTTTACATTGTGGGAGTGCGGTATGTCTAGTATTATTGGGTATAGTGTGAATACAAAAAGTTAAAGAAACTACCTAAAGACTCGTGTCATATTATATTATTGAGCTCGCTTAATTAATTCAATATGACATAGACACTCATGTAAGACCCTCTATATAGTAATAAGTAGTATAAACACCGGCTTTTAACAATGGTCAGTGGATTAAGTAATGCGTTAATTATTTTAACACTAACAGTAATATATTACTCTTTGATATCATATTTTTGTACATGTTATTATAATAATAATAACAATAATAATATACAACATTTGATATATAGCGCCATATCAAGCTAACCTATAAGCCACTCTAAAGCGCTTTACAGTACATAGATTGTGTATCAATACAATTAGTATACGTTAATCAATACAATTTTGAGGAATTCGCAGTAGCTGCCTTCCTATCGCTAACTACTAGTCCTATGCCACCTGGCTAATATCTCCCTATGTGTGTATGACTGCGTGTGTGCTGGAGATGTACAAGTTAATCGATTCTTGGAATTTTTGCAGAAATATTTGCAGTCGGTCGGCAAACCGTTTCACCGTATCTCTGTTCGCAAAGAAAGTGACGAAAACAACGCATCGATAGAGGCAGCCTTGGCAGCCTAAATCCACAATGCTACCAGGAATTGTGTTTGTACAAGATCTGCTCCCACGTCACTGGAATAACGTTCTCTCGAGGATTTATGGCCTAACGTGACATGAGCTTTGTATTGTGAACACTCATATAAATATGTATGTAAATATTGGATGAAGCTTACATTATAATACCATGCTACACAACGGTAATACCTAAGCACCACCAGTAAGTACTAGTTATGGGCAGTGATAGTCCAGGAGGTATACAATGCCGGTGTGATTAAGGTGATAGCACGGCCGCTTTGGAATTTCTGATACAAAGCACAGTTTGTCAAATTGCTTGTTTTATATCTAATATAGTTGAGCTTATATTGTCAATATCCTACTTACCAATGCAACGTCCTTCTACACGCAAAGAACAATAATTGTATCACTAACTATGCAGATTAGTTCGTTCAAAAGTAACAGACTGTTGTTTGATATATAGCTTCGTCACATTCAAGTAAATTTGATCTGAACGAATTGGGAAAATTTCTCCACAAATTCTGTTCCCCGGACAATCGATTTTTCTTGCCATAATTCCTGAGAATATGCTATTTTATTTCTCCAATTTATTATGTTATTTATGCATAAACAATTAAACCTGTTCAACACCAATGTTAACGTCTTTGAGTCGTCATTGTTCCCAGAAGTAAAATAAGTTTATGTTTCGTAATAACTGCATCTTGTTGACATGACACAGCACCATTTTCTAGTACTAAGATAACAAGAGGCCCAATGGGCCTGAATCGCTCACCTGGTTTTAATCTCACACTTGTAATCTTAAAAGTGGACTAAAATACAACTACAGGCAGAATATCAGTGTTTGATTCATAAGAACCTATTAAAAGATTTAAACATATGACGCCCGTGACCTTGAATGTCGAACAGGGACATTAGGTTGAACAGAGTTTATAGTCTTCCAATCCATCATGCTTCTAGCAAAATATCATTACCCTGGACCTTTTTGGTTATACAGAACAAATCATTTAAAGATTTAAACATATATTGACCACTGTGACCTTGAATATGGGCGAAGGTCATTCATTTGAAAAAACTTGGTAGCCCTTCATCCAAGCATGTTAATGGTCAAATATCATCACCCTTGGCCTTTTGCATATTAAGAAGTCGTTTGAAGGTTTTTAGCTCACCTGGCACGAATAACCATGGGTCCCAGGATGTTGATACTTTGCAAGTTGCATCCTGAGATAAAAGGCTATAAAATGTGTTCAACATAATGACTTTGTTCGACTTTCAATCACAGGGGTGAAATGTTTTTAAAAAAATCAACAGGATCTTTTGAATGAATTTTAATCGTAAATACTAATATTTTTCCTGTAGCTTTATTTCGGATCACTTTTAAGGTTATAAGTGTGAGATTTATACCAGGTGAGCGATGCAGGCCCATTGGGCCTCTTGTTTAAAACATTTCCCCCCTGTGATTGAAAGTCGAACAAAGTCATTGTGTTGAACAAATTTTATAGCCTTTCATCTCAGGATGCAACTTGCAAATTATCAACATCCTGGGACCCATTGTTATTCAGAAGAGGTCGTTTAAAGATTTAAAACCTTGAATATAAGTCAAAATCATTCACTTTAACAAACATAGTAGTCCTTGATCCCAGCATGCTACTGACTAAATATCAACATCCTGAGCCTTTTGGTTATTCAGAACAAGTTGTTTAAATATTTTGAACATATTTGCTCCTTGTGACCTTGAATAAGATTCAAGGTCATACATTTACATAATGTAAACAAACTTGGTAGCCCTTTATCCTTGTATGCTACTGACTAAATATCATCACCCTGGGCATTTTGGTTTTTCAGAAGAAGTCGTTTAAAGTTTTTAACATATTTGACCTCTGTGACCTTGAATATGGGCGAAGGTCATGCATTTGAACAAACTTTGTAGCGCTTCATCTCAGCATGCTACTGTGGTTATTGAGAAGAAGTTGTTTAAAGGTTTTTTTTAAGACAATTGACTCCTGTGACCTTGAATATAATTGAAGATCAATCATTTGAACAAACTTAATATCCCTTTAACCCCAGCATGCAACTGGCCAAATATCATCACCCTGGACATTTTGGTTATTCAGAAGAAGTTGTTTAAAGGTTTTAACATATTTGACCCGTGTGACCCTGAATATGGGTGAAGGTCATTCATTTGAATAAACTTTGTAGCCCTTCATCTCAGAATGCTACTGGCCAAATATCATCACCCTGGGCATTTTGGTTATTGAGAAGAAGTTGTTTAAAGGTTTTTTTAAGACAATTGACCCCTTTGACCTTGAATATAATTGAAGGTCATTTATTTGAACAAACTTGGTAGCTTTTCATCTCAGCATGTTACTGGCTAAATATCATCACCCTAAGCCTCTTGATTATTCAGAAGAAGTTGTTTAAATGTTTTTAACATATTTGACCCCAGTGACCTTGAATATAATTTAAGTCATTTATTTGCACAAACTTGGTAGCCCTTTATCCCAGCATGTTACTGACCAAATATCACTACCCTAGCTCCTTCGGTTATTCAGAAGAAGTTGTTTAAAGGTTTTAACATATTTGACCCCTTGAATATAAGTCAAGGTCATTTATTTGAACAAACTTGGTAGCCCTTCATTGCAGCATGCTACTGGCTAAATATCATCACCCTAGGCCTCTTGGTTATTCAGAAGTTGTTTAAATATTTTAACATATTTGACACCAGTGACCTTGAATATGATTCAATGTCATTCATTTGAACAAACTTGGTAGCCCTTCATCCCAGCATGTTACTGGCCAAATAGCATCACCCTTGGCCTTTTGCTTATTAAGAAGTCGTTTGAAGGTTTTTAACATATTTGACACCAGTGACCTTGAATATGATTCAAGGTCTTTCATTTGAACAAACTTGGTAGTCCTTCATCCCAGCATGTGACTGGCCAAATATCATCACCCTAGGCCTCTCGGTTATTCAGAAGAAGTCGTTTAAAGGTTTTAAACATATTTGACCCGTGACCTTCGGGCAGGTGAGCTAAAAATGAAGATAATTAATGTGATTCAATACCATTTTGAGTAGTATATAAGGTGTAGATATGTGAAGTCTGGTCCGTTTGTACCATTTTGAGTAGTAATACAAGAGGCCCAGAGGGCCTGTATCGCTCACCTGGATGGATATCTAAGCAGTCATGGCGAAATATTCTCCAAATGAGATCCAAGGGAATATGCCAGACCCCAAGGCCAATTCAGGATCAATTCTAATATCATGACTGCATTCGTCTCTTTATACCCAGCATTTGTATATATAGTTTTGGGAAGGGGATCTCAACCGTTTCAAAGTCATGACCCAGGGACTATGTCTCCAAGGGTGGGGCCAGACCCGAGGGCCATCCTGGAAGCAACTATGCATTCTTCTCTTCATACTCAGCAATTGTATATATGGTTATAAGGTGGGGATCTCAACCATTTCTAAGTGATAAACTTATTTTGGTCCCACCCCTTAGCCCAGGGGTTTAGCCCCGAAATTTGTACAATTGTGAATATCCACCACGGGTGCTACCAGTCAAATCTGGTTGATATCCATCTCTTAGTTCCAGAGAAGAAATCGCTTAAGGCAATATACACAAATTGTCTGCTTTTGTCCCCGCCCCCAGCCCCCTTGTGGGTCAGCCCCAACATTTGTACAATTTTGAATCCCAATCACCTAGGGATGCTTCCAGTCAAATATAGTTTATATCCATTTCTCAGTTCCAGAGAAGAAGTCGCTTAAGGCAATATAGCCAAATTGTCTGCTTTTGTCCCCGCCCCCAGCCCCCTTGGGGGTCAGCCCCAACATTTGTACAATTTTGAATCCCAATCACCTAGGGATGCTTCCAGTCAAATATAGTTGATATCCATTTCTCAGTTCCAGAGAAGAAGTCGCTTAAAGCAAAATAGCCAAATTGCCCATTTTTGGCCCCGTCTCTCAGCCCCCTGTTGGGTAAGCCCCAAGATTTGTACAATTTTGAATCCCCACCACCTAGGAATGCTTCCAGTCAAATATGGTTGATATCCATCTCTTAGTTCCAAGGAAGAAGTCGCTTAAAGCAATATAGCCAAATTGCCCCCTTTTGGCCCCACCCCTCAACCTCCTTTGGGGTCAGCCCCACCATTTGTACAATTTGAATCCCTACCACCTAGGAATGTTTCCAGTCAAATTTAGTTAAATTCCAATCAGTGGTTAAGAAGAAGTCGTTTAAAGAAATTTTTGACGGACGGACGACGGACGCCACGGTATGGCATAAGCTCACCTTGGTTCTTTGGACCAGGTGAGCTAATAAGGTGTAGATATGTGGGGTCTGTTTATACAATTTTGAGTAGTAGATATGTGGGGTCTGTTTATACCATTTTGAGTAGTAATATAAGGTGTAGATATGTGGGGTCTGTTTGTACCTTTTTGAGTAGTAATATAAGGTGTAGATATGTGGGGTCTGTTTATACCATTTTGAGTAGTAATATAAGGTGTAGATATGTGGGGTCTGTTTATACCATTTTGAGTAGTAATATAAGGTGTAGATATGTGGGGTCTGTTTATACCATTTTGAGTAGTAATATAAGGTGTAGATATGTGGGGTCTGTTTGTACCATTTTGAGTAGTAATATAAGGTGTAGATATGTGGGGTCTGTTTGTACCATTTTGAGTAGTAATATAAGGTGTAGATATGTGGGGTCTGTTTGTACCATTTTGAGTAGTAATATAAGGTGTAGATATGTGGGGTCTGTTTGTACCATTTTGAGTAGTAATATAAGGTGTAGATATGTGGGGTCTGTTTGTACCATTTTGAGTAGTAATATAAGGTGTAGATATGTGGGGTCTGTTTGTACCATTTTGAGTAGTAATATAAGGTGTAGATATGTGGGGTCTGTTTGTACCATTTTGAGTAGTAATATAAGGTGTAGATATGTGGGGTCTGTTTGTACCATTTTGAGTAGTAATATAAGGTGTAGATATGTGGGGTCTGTTTGTACCATTTTGAGTAGTAATATAAGGTGTAGATATGTGGGGTCTGTTTGTACCATTTTGAGTAGTAATATAAGGTGTAGATATGTGGGGTCTGTTTGTACCATTTTGAGTAGTAATATAAGGTGTAGATATGTGGGGTCTGTTTGTACCATTTTGAGTAGTAATATAAGGTGTAGATATGTGGGGTCTGTTTGTACCATTTTGAGTAGTAATATAAGGTGTAGATATGTGGGGTCTGTTTGTACCATTTTGAGTAGTAATATAAGGTGTAGATATGTGGGGTCTGTTTGTACCATTTTGAGTAGTAATATAAGGTGTAGATATGTGGGGTCTGTTTGTACCATTTTGAGTAGTAATATAAGGTGTAGATATGTGGGGTCTGTTTGTACCATTTTGAGTAGTAATATAAGGTGTAGATATGTGGGGTCTGTTTGTACCATTTTGAGTAGTAATATAAGGTGTAGATATGTGGGGTCTGTTTGTACCATTTTGAGTAGTAATATAAGGTGTAGATATGTGGGGTCTGTTTGTACCATTTTGAGTAGTAATATAAGGTGTAGATATGTGGGGTCTGTTTGTACCATTTTGAGTAGTAATATAAGGTGTAGATATGTGGGGTCTGTTTGTACCATTTTGA